CAGGGAGTGCAGAATTATTAGGCAAATGAGTATTTTGACCACATCATCCTCTTTATGCATGTTGTCTTACTCCAAGCTGTATAGGCTCGAAAGCCTACTACCAATTAAGCATATTAGGTGATGTGCATCTCTGTAATGAGAAGGGGTGTGGTCTAATGTCATCAACACCCTACATCAGGTGTGCATAATTATTAGGCAACTTCCTTTCCTTTGGCAAAATGGGTCAAAAGAAGGACTTGACAGGCTCAGAAAAGTCAAAAATAGTGAGATATCTTGCAGAGGGATGCAGCACTCTTAAAATTGCAAAGCTTCTGAAGCGTGATCATCGAACAATCAAGCGTTTCATTCAAAATAGTCAACAGGGTCGCAAGAAGCGTGTGGAAAAACCAAGGCGCAAAATAACTGCCCATGAACTGAGAAAAGTCAAGCGTGCAGCTGCCACGATGCCACTTGCCACCAGTTTGGCCATATTTCAGAGCTGCAACATCACTGAGTGCCCAAAAGCACAAGGTGTGCAATACTCAGAGACATGGCCAAGGTAAGAAAGGCTGAAAGACGACCACCACTGAACAAGACACACAAGCTGAAACGTCAAGACTGGGCCAAGAAATATCTCAAGACTGATTTTTCTAAGGTTCTATGGACTGATGAAATGAGAGTGAGTCTTGATGGGCCAGATGGATGGGCCCGTGGCTGGATTGGTAAAGGGCAGAGAGCTCCAGTCCGACTCAGACGCCAGCAAGGTGGAGGTGGAGTACTGGTTTGGGCTGGTATCATCAAAGATGAGCTTGTGGGGCCTTTTTGGGTTGAGGATGGAGTCAAGCTCAACTCCCAGTCCTACTGCCAGTTCCTGGAAGACACCTTCTTCAAGCAGTGGTACAGGAAGAAGTCTGCATCCTTCAAGAAAAACATGATTTTCATGCAGGACAATGCTCCATCACACGCGTCCAAGTACTCCACAGCGTGGCTGGCAAGAAAGGGTATAAAAGAAGAAAATCTAATGACATGGCCTCCTTGTTCACCTGATCTGAACCCCATTGAGAACCTGTGGTCCATCATCAAATGTGAGATTTACAAGGAGGGAAAACAGTACACCTCTCTGAACAGTGTCTGGGAGGCTGTGGTTGCTGCTGCACGCAATGTTGATGGTGAACAGATCAAAACACTGACAGAATCCATGGATGGCAGGCTTTTGAGTGTCCTTGCAAAGAAAGGTGGCTATATTGGTCACTGATTTGTTTTTGTTTTGTTTTTGAATGTCAGAAATGTATATTTGTGAATGTTGAGATGTTATATTGGTTTCACTGGTAATAATAAATAATTGAAATGGGTATATATTTGTTTTTTGTTAAGTTGCCTAATAATTATGCACAGTAATAGTCACCTGCACACACAGATATCCCCCTAACATAGCTATAACTAAAAACAAACTAAAAACTACTTCCAAAAATATTCAGCTTTGATATTAATGAGTTTTTTGGGTTCATTGAGAACATGGTTGCTGTTCAATAATAAAATTAATCCTCAAAAATACAACTTGCCTAATAATTCTGCACTCCCTGTATACACACCACCAAACACACAATGTGACATATCATTCACACACACAATTCCACACACAGCCCAAATACACAGCACACATTCACAGGTATCATACACAATACTGCAAACTACTCATGAACATATACAATATAACATCGCACACTCGCACCCAAATACAATGCTACAAAGCAACTGCAGCACCCATGAATAACACAAACAGCATACGGCAACATACACACCACAAGTTTAAAAAAAAATAGGACTGGCACGCAAACGGGGCTCTGAGATCTTGTTTTGACAGAGTACTACTAAATGGTTGCCTACTCCTGATCTAAAGAATAATTCAATTTATGTTCACAGTTCATTTCATATACATTTTTGTTTCTGTTTCATGTACAAATGATATACAGTAACATTTTCTTTTTTTTTAAGTGACATCAACAAAATTAACAACGCTATTGCTGATCAGGTTGCAATCTTCATTGAGAGGATTTCTACATTTGTCTTTGGATTTTTAATCGGCTTTCTTGGAAACTGGAAATTAACCCTTGTCATTGTTGCAGTCAGCCCTCTTATTGGTTTAGGAGCAGGATTAATGGCACTGGTAATTATTACTACCCATTTTTAATATTTAACTACTTAACTTGATGGTAGTCATGTATGTTGCATACATCAAACCTACTACTTAACTACAGCCTGTCTTTAGATCAGTAGTGTCATCTGTAATCCGTACCTATATGATATTACGCAAGGTAAACTCTATTTCACCTGACCCTTGCCTATAATAACTTATTTTATGATTAAACTCTGCATGCCTATATTATATCTTATCTCCAACATAAATATTTTGGGATCCATTACATTATTTTGTGAAAAAACAGATTACTTTACCCTACCGATTAGTTTATTCACAAAAACATAAAGGCTTAGAATAATCTGTAGCCAAAGAGTCACAAAAATTGCTCTAATTTATGACAAGAGGTACAGCCTCTTCTAAAGGAACACTCCAGGCAGCATATAATTAAGCAACAAGACTGCCTATGCATGATCTATACACCAAAACTGCTCAATTTAGCAAAAGTTTATTTTGTGCTCAGAGTAGCCTTTCATTTGTATTGAAAAAAAAAATACTATTCACTATTGCCTATATTTTGAAGACTGGAGGTACAAAATATAAAAAATAGGGATGACAACTTGATTGTATATTTTGCTGATTCCCCTAAGTGTCTTCCTACACCAGGGGTAAGAAACCCTCGGCACTCCAGATGTTGTGGACTACATCCCCCATAATGCTCTTACACCCATAATGCTGGCAAAGCATCATGGGAGGTGTAATCCAAAACATATGGAGTGCCGAAGGTTCCCTATGCCTGTCCTACACAATGAAGTTAGAAAGAACATTTATGTCTTGGGGTACAGTCAGACAAACATGCCAAAAGGGCTGTAGGCAGTAAGGCTATGGAAATTTCACCTTGTGCTTACACTTACTTCAAAGTGAGAAACTTAACGATAGGCATCTTTCATACTGTTTTCCATGTGATCTAGGATCTAGCCTTGGTTGAACTGAATGTTTTATGGAACGCTGTTTGTTAGGTTTGTAGGAGACCATCGAGAGGATATTATTCTTGTCTTCTGGGGACAATACAATGTTATGTAGAAGAATTTGCTATTTCTTGGCAACCAGTATCTCACATTCCTTTCTTTTCACTCATACATTTTACCAAGAATAAGTGTGATTCATTAGTATACCCAAAATATTCAATTAAGACCTACCTACAGGTGTCAAAGGTTTAATATTTCTGCTCCTCTTCATTCGACCTTTCTTTTTTTAATCTCCTTAATGTTTCTGATTTTCTAGGCTGTGGCAAGACTGACAGGCAGAGAGTTAAAGGCATATGCCAAAGCCGGTGCAGTGGCTGATGAAGTCCTATCTTCCATTCGAACTGTGGCTGCTTTTGGTGGAGAAAAGAAGGAGGCTGAAAGGTGAATCAATCACGTTTATTTCCTGAAGTCTTTAATCAAGTTATACGTAATTAACCGAAAAATATCTAGTCCAACATAAGCCTTGATTTCATATTTTTGGATACGATTTTCAAAAAAAAAATTCAAAATCTGAAAAAAACGCAAAATATTGCAAATATAAAAATACATCAATATATTAAAAATATTACTAAATTAAAATATTTTTCAAAATATTTCATAATTTTAATATTTTATCCAAAAAATGTTAAATCATATAAAAAAGCTTATCTAAAATATGAAATCAAGGCCATAGATGGTTTTATGGTATCAACATCTTCATAAAAAAAAATCTCAGATAGTTGGTCATCGGAGTTACAGTCCAACTGCATTAAGGGCTGCCACTCTTGTGCTATAGAGATTATTTTGTTAACTATCTCTTTAACTGTCTCTTTAAAAATGGCAAACATAATTTATTTTATTTTTTTTATATTTATTGATGCAGTGCAATTTGGGTAAAGCCACTCCGCGCAGACTGAGCTCCGCAGGGTGGGGGAAGGCTTATAAATTTTTTTAATAGCAGAATATTTGCGTACTCTAAGAATCAGCTAGCATTTGTCTTGTCTGTTTTAAAGTTACTAATACCGAATTAATCATGTGCTGTTATGATTAACAATGATATAATGTTTCTGCTATATTGTTTCTTTCTATGTTCTATTATTTCTTTCTCTGAAACATACAGTTGTATAGTCCTATATACAGTGCATGACATGGTTCAACGTGATGTACTTTGTCTGCAGGTATGACAATAACCTGATTGAAGCTCAGGCTTGGGGTATCAAAAAAGGCACCATCATAGGCTTCTTCCAGGGGTATATGTGGTGCATTATTTTTCTGTGTTATGCTCTTGCTTTCTGGTATGGATCTAAACTGGTAACTGAAACAAAAGAGCTATCACCGGGGAGTCTTCTGCAGGTCAGTTTATTTAAAGCTAATTTGTTACATTGTTACTGCATACAGGCATCCCAACCATCCCAATTTCGTCAGGCTGGCCTACTTGATTGGCAGATATCCTGGTGTTCATAAATAGCTCTACACAAAGGGGTTGCCCTACTTGGAAGGGGGAGGTTTCATCCAATTTGGGTGGAGCTAATGATATGAATCTCGACATTGGCCTGCCTCCTTTTTTGCCCTCCCACTGGCATCTTGCATCATACGAGGCCCAAATTTGCTGAATATGGTATTATATTTCCCAATATTAGGCCAGCATTGGTACTTTATTAGTGCTGATACATAACCAGCGTATGGGGCATAAGAATAATCCTATCTCCAAAAATACTCATCTCAATGTTGATGTTAGTTGATAGAGTTTTTCAGATAATTTGGCCCATTACCAGTTATACCATGCGCTATACACAGAGACACATTTTATTTATTATTATATTTTTTAAATGTTTGCATCTTTAGGGTGTGGTTAACAGGTTTAGTGGTGATGAATAATCTAGCCTGCCAATATTCTTAATTCAACAGTGCTGGGAATTCTTGTAAGATAGGATATAGTTTATTATAGCTACAAGAAATGGTGTGTTAATTATACTTTGCTGCTATTTAGAGATAGCACAGCTTAGATGTGAAAGACGATTCAGGTAGATGCATCTCTAAAAGCTGGTGACAGAATAATATTTCCTTTATGTATTAAAAAATAAGTATGTGGGATTTCATAATTACATAATTTTAAAATACAAACAGCTGATATCAAACAAAAATATTATAAACCAAGGAATACAACTGAACGTGCTTTTAACTCCGAGTGCAGTACAGTAGCTGGCTAAAGCATTGTTTCGACCGCTATTTTGTTCAGGGTACAACACAACACTAAACACGTTGCTGATCAGGAAGATCTTCCATGTCTGAATCTTTCTACAATTAATTTTATTTGTTTAGAAAATGCCTTCTAATGTGTATTGATCATAGAAATGTGAATGATTTTAGCTAGTGTTTCTTAGCCCTTGAATAATGTCTGAAATTAGAATCACCATGTTTTTTCCAGGCAATCATATTGCTTTATTCATTTCTGATACAGTCAGTTGACATAAAATCTATCCTTTTAAGGACACAACTGCAGAGGTAAAAGGCCAGCATCACGAAAAATTTCCATCATGTGCCCATGGCACTGTAGGTTTAAAAGGTGCCCCCCTCCCTCGCACCCCCCCCCCACTAGGCTGAAGGGGTTAAAAACCCTTCAACCACTTACCTGAATTCAGCGCCGATGTCCCTCGGTACTGGGTCAGGCTCCGACCACATTTCTCAAATGGCCATGCTCCCATTAGTATTTCCCCATAAGAAAGTATTATTCAATGATATCCTATAGGGAAAATCTGGCGCTGGAGGTCCTCATACAGAGCAGTGAGGACGTCCAGCGTCAGATAACAGACTAAAGGTCCATTTCAATTCCAGAAGTCTTCAAGTGGCTGTCTGGTAGACAGCCACTGAGGGCAGACTTAGAGCTGCAATGTAAACATTCTCTGGAACTGCAATGTTTTACATTGTAGCACTATGTGCAATAGGGACACAGCTCCCAGACCACTTCAATTAGCTGAAGTGGTCTGGGTGCCTACAGTGTCCCTTTAAGTATCTTTGTTCTGTAGCACTGACATAAATATGAACCATAATGTTTTGTTTTCTATTTAAACCAAGTTATGCTTTTTATTTGAAGGTATTTTTTGGAGTACTGGTTGCTGCAATGAACTTGGGTCAAGCTTCCCCCTGCTTAGAAGCCTTTGCAACTGGCCGAGCAGCTGCTACAATTATATATGAGACAATAGAAAAGGTGAGATTGGTATTAACAATAACTTCACTTCTTTTATCTGTCTATTTATCCAGTTCAATTAAGTTAAAATTAATACTGTCCTGCAAAGCAAAGACACGCAAAGTTGACTATTTCCCCATAAGATTGTAAATTGTAGCAACTGAAAAAAGTAATTTGATTATATATCAAAATGTTATAAATATCACCTCTGGGGCAAAGGGTTTGCACCAATGTATATTTCTCTATCAATAAGGTGAAATGCACTTTTATATATGTTCTAATATTAAGACGCTTGTGTCTACTTTTAGAATCCAGAGATTGATTGCATGTCTGATGAAGGGCACAAACCGGATAAAGTGAATGGTGTCATTGAGTTCCATAATGTAAATTTCCACTATCCATCAAGACCAGATGTAAAGGTATGCATTAGACTTTAACCCTGTGAACTTTATCTAAGGATGATCATAAATGTATATCTCCAGAAAGCTAAGCTTTAAATATTTTTACATCAGTTCAGATTTTCCTTATTTATGGTTTCATATTTATGGATCTGGATAAATAAATTGTGCATTTTATAGTATACAGTTGAAATATTGGCTTATTATTATTTTTATTTTTATCAAAGCAAGATAAAAATTTTGAAATTGTGTTAAATAATTTGATACAGCATTGCTATAACACTCTTGGCAAAGTGGCACTTCAATGAATAGTACCTTCCAAACACTGAAACGAGGTATGTTTCTCAGTTATGCTGTGTAGAGGTCCCCTGCCCCTGTTTCCCAGCACATATTTTTTATACATTTTCCATTTTCCCTTGAATTTCTGCATTCATTAACCAACGCCATCAGTGACTGCTGACATAAGAGCGGAGACTGGTGAAGGTTAAAGACGATGGGAACCTGACTCTGACCCACAACTTTTTTGAGCTCTCCACTCTTAATCCTGAATAAATGAGTGATTATTCCCGGTTCAACACCATAAACCTTAAAGAGGTCCAATGCCTATTTAAAGAAGTCAAATGCCTGTTTAAAGAGGTCCAATGTCTATTTAAAGAAATCCAATGCCTGTTTAAAGAGGTCCATTGTCTATTTAAAGAAGTCCAATGCCTGTTTAAAGAGGCCCAATGTGTGTTTAACCCCTTAAGGACACATGACATGTGTGACATGTCATGATTCCCTTTTATTCCAGAAGTTTGGTCCTTAAGGGGTTAAAGAGGTCTAATGCCTGTTTACAGAGGTGCAGTGCTGTTAATCAACAACAGCCCTAGAAGGCAGGACAATATGGAGTCTTGTCTGACAGCCCAGGATCTGTCAGCCAAAGACAACATCAATAGGTGACTTTAGAAACTTGCATATTATAGACGTCTGATGGTTCTATATCCTTAGCATGGGGTATTTTTTTAATATATCAAAATGTTGACATGATTAGTTTCTCAGCCTTTCAGCAGCATCTCCAGCCATTGATCATGGTAAACACATGTTTTTTCTAACACATAATTAATCATTAGTTCTTACCATGTTATTACATTTTAACGCAACAAAATCTGGGGGTGTCACATCCCACTTGATCCTATGGACCAGCCACCACTGCATAAGGGGGACCATTGCATCCTTCTCAACCCTCCCAAGTGCAGGAAAGGCTTGTGCAAACTGGGCAAGAGCTTGCTATGGTCCACAAGCCCTCTAACAGGCTCCTTCATATCAGTGTAAAGGGACATGACCTGAAGCCACAGACACACACACACACTTGTGCAATTGCGAGATTGTTTTTGATAGCTGCTGTTATAAAACTATGCTGCCAATAAAGTGAATACTTTCTGCTTATTCAGCATTTCCATTCATATTACCTAATAAAAGGAATTACTGCCAAGTGTCAAACTACATGACTTATAAATTATGTCTGGGCTTGGGTTAATGAGATCTGCACAGTCCCTAAAATAATTTGGACATCCTGATTGACTGGGTCACTAATTGCCATGGTCAAAGCTCACTAGTACATCTGCAAAGCCTGCAAATTTGTATCAAATGCAGTAATTTCAAAGGTGATTTTAATGTGTTGTTAATGTTTTGGAAATAGGTGTAACCATCAATCTGGTGTGCTTTTTATAATTTTGATTTATTCTATTCAAATGGGAATGCCGCAAGTTGCACGGTGACCTATTTAAAGATTAATTACAAAAAGTTAGCACAACATTAAAATATTGTATACCGTATGTTTATTTTTCTGAATATGCTAAAAAGAATGCATAATCAAAAATATTTCCCAAATTTGCAGATTCTAAGTGATCTCAACATTGCCATTAATCCAGGGGAAACAACAGCATTTGTTGGGCCCAGTGGTTCTGGGAAAAGTTCTACAATACAACTCATTCAAAGATTCTACGATCCTACAAATGGCAAGGTAAATAATCCTGTTTAGCATCCTGTCTGAATGATTAGCATTGCTGTGATATGATTTCAGTAGACTTAGTCACTTAATGTTATTATCCATTGTTTCTGTTAGCTGTTAACCCATTAATCTTTTCACTTGAGTCCCTAAAATGCTGGAGCCACCTAGTCCTATTTATGCACATTCACATCTTTGCCTGTATAAACCAACACACACATACACACGCAAACACATCTGTATAGTACACATTATACATGCACATTCACAGACATTCATACAAGCACATATGGTCACATACTTGCATACTTCAGTGGCTCAATGTAGATTCCAAACATTTTAGTGGCTTGTTTGTTTTTAAACTATTTCTCTTTTAAGAACTTATTTACTATTTTTTCCATGCTGTTTGTCAGCTTGTGGCTTAATGGATCCGTAATTGTATTGTTACTCAGGTTACTAGATCAGGAGAACCTAGGAAGACATTCCTAGGTGGTTATGGTACCAGGAGTTCGCTGGTATTATCACCCCCAGAATGTAAGTAGTCAAACTTTTTTAGAACAGAAAGCCAAAAGCTCTGAGCAATCGCTATTAGCTGAGAGCGATCAGTTAACGTTATCTGTCAATGAGCTACCCCTGCATTGCACGGCTTAGCACGAGAGAGCTAACAGCAACTCTCAAGACTAAAGTGAAAGAAATGAGGAGTGATGCCCAGATAAGAAGTTAGACAGTTCTAAAATAATTTGAATACTTACACTAGGGGGCATCAGGGCACTCCACTTTCCATAATCACTGCAGTGGTTTTGTACTTGGAGTGTTCATTTAAACAATTGTACAAGTAAAATAATTTGGCACAAGCTGGTGTTTAATAAATGTATCACTCGCTACTCTTGTAGTTGCAAGTTTTCTTTTTTTAAGCCCGCGCCTGACTTTAAGCAAACTGAGAAGCGAGTAGCACTGGGCGACTTTGTCTTTAGTAAATAGATTGAATTAAGTTATGTGTGAAGTAGAAATAAAATTAAAAATATATATAGTGGCTTATTCATTAAATAGTTCTTTGTGGTGAGTTGATTACCATTTTTAATTCATGGACTAAAGGTGCAAAATTGGAAAATAAATTCCAAATAACTTGTAAGAATAGCATTATTTCTTAATATTATTAAATGCATTTCCCAGGTGACTTTGGACGGCCATGATATCAGAACACTTAACATTCAGTGGCTGCGCTCTGTAATTGGTATTGTTGAGCAGGAACCTGTTCTATTTGCTACTACAATCGCCGAGAACATTCGCTATGGAAGAGACAATGTTACCATGGAAGACATTACCAAGGCAGCAAAAGAAGCTAATGCCTTTAACTTCATAATGGAGTTACCGCAGGTAAAATGAGGCAAAGAGGATTTTGTGTAAATACCAGATTACTGTGTTTGTTAACAGTTTAAATCCAATTGTGGGAGCTGATAAAAGTCCGTCGCTATTTTCAGAATAGATGAAAATAGCAACAGCTAGAACAACAAGTGACAGAACAAAATGTTTTTTTATAGGACAAGACATGCATTATCTATGTTTAAATGTACAGTAACACAAAAGTGAATCCTGTTCAATAATATATGACGTAATATATGAATTTTGAATAAAGTAGACATGATTTTCATTCAAGAGAATGTGTTATATAAGAAGTCTGCCCAGTTACATTGAAAAGACCTGTAAATTCAACTGTTGAAAGATAGATAGATAGTTAGATAGACCTCTCTTTCTCATCATTTGAAATTCATTCGATTCGTCTTTTCAAACCCATTTTTGCTAACATTGCCGTTATTTATCGTCCCCCTGGTTTCCCTCTCCTCTTTCTTGACCACTTTGCTACCTGGCTACCCTACTTCCTCTCCTCTAGTATTCCATCCCTAATTCTCGGGCATTTCAATATTCCCATTAACCCACCCTTGAACTCAGCCGCCTCTAAACTACTTTCAATTATTTCCTCCCTTAGACTATCGCAGCGGGATAATTATCCTACCCACGTAGCTGGCAATACCCTCAACCTCATTTTCTCTTATGCATGTACAGTGTCTAATATCTGCAAAACTCAATTTCCTCTCTCAGATCACCACCTCGTATCATTTGCTCTCAAGAATTCCCTCACCCAACAACCTCAGCCTAACTCCCCTCAACTCAGAAGAACCTTAATTCTATTGACCTCCAGCAGCTGTCAGCTGATATTGATTCACAACTCCTATCCATTCTTCCCTCTCCTGTCCCTCACTGTCAATCTCCACATATAACACTACCCTTACCTCTGCCTTGAACACCGCAGCCCCGCTCCAAACATGCACCTTGAGGAGGATATGCCCCCAACCATGGCACACTAAATCAACACACCACCTGCAAAGATGCTCCTGTTGTGTTGAACGTTCCTGGAGGAAGTCTTGCACCCAGTCAGACTTTCACCATTGTAGATTCATATTTAGTTCGTACAGCGCAGTCCTTGCCCTCGCCAAAGAGTCATATTTTTCCTCTCTCATTAGTTCATGCTCCTGCAATCCCAGGCATCTCTTTGATACCTTTAACTCTCTTCTTCCCCCTGCTGTGGCAACCCTCCAAACTAACCTCACAGCCGAGAGCTTTGCATGCTACTTTACCAACAAGATTGAACAGCTATGGAAAGAATTCTCACCAAATTGCCTATCTCTTTCTCAACCACATGTAGATCATGCCTTACCTACCCTTAAGACTTTCTCCCAGGCTACTCAACAAGAGGTGGCTGTGCTTCTCGTCCTACCTATTGCCAGCTTGATCCTGTCCCATTTAACCTTATCAGATTTCTTACTCCTTGTCTTGTGCCTTCCTTAACACACATCTTCAACTGCTCTCGCTTTCTGGCATTCTCCATGCTGGCCTTAAACATGCCACTGCAGTATCCAATCCTGAAAAAAACATCTCTTGATCCATCCTCCCCTGCTAACTATCATCCCGTATCCCTGTTTCCTTTTGCCTCAAAGCTTCTGGAAAGACTTATCTTTACCCAAATGTATCACTTCCTCAATTCCAACTCTTTCCTTGACCCTCTTCAGTCTGGCTTCTGCCCCCTCCACTCTACTGAGACTGTTCTTATCAAAGTTAATAACGACCTAATTGCAGCTAAATCCAAAGGCCACTATTCCATTCTAATTCTTCTTGACCTCTGCTGCCTTTGACACTGTTGATCTTTTTCTCCTTCTTAAAACTCTTTAATCACTTGGTATCTGTGACTCTGTCCTCTCGTGGTTTTCCTCTTATCTCTCCTAACGCTCATTCAGAGTCTCCTTTTCTAATGATACATCCTACCTTCGTCCTGTCTCAGTTGGAGTCCCCCAAGGCTATATCCTTGGTACCCTTCAATTTTCTGTTTATACTGCCTCTCTTGGCAAATGTATTACCTCATTTGGATTCAACTACCACCTGTACGCTGATAACACCCAGATATATCTCTCCTCCCCGGTCCTCTCTCCTGCCATCCTGCAACATGTCAATGCTTGTCTTTCTTCCATCTCTGACTGGATGTCCTCCCGCATTCTGAAACTCAGTCTCTCTAAAACTGAGCACCTTGTCTTTCCTCCTCCTAATGCTGATCCTCCTCTTTCACTTTCCCTTCAAGTTCGTGGTATCCACACCAGTCCATACCTGCAAGCATGCTGTCTTGGCGTTATACTTGACTCTGGCCTCACCTTTGAGCCTCACTCCCAGTATGTTACCAAATCCTGTAGATTCCATCTTAAAAACATAGTCCACATCCGCCCCTTTCTTACGCAAGGAGCTTGTCCATGCTCTAGTAATTTCTCGCATGGATCATTATAATCTTCTTCTAATTAGTCATCCCAAAAGCTGTATTTCCCCGCTACAGTCTGTAATGAATGCTGCCGCCAGACTGATTCTCTTTTCCAGTCAGTCCTCTCACACCTCACCCCTCTGTTAGTCCTTACATTGGCTTCCTGTATCCTATAGGAGTCAATTCAAAGTACTAACCCATACCTAAAAAGCAGTGAACAATTCTAGCCCTTCTTATATCTCTTCACAGATCCATAGGTATGCACCTTCTTGGTCTCCTCTCTGCCCATGAACTTCTCCTGTCCGCTGCTCGCACCCATATGGCAAACTCACACTTCTCACGGGCGGCTCCCTTCCTATGGAATAGTCTGCCTACTGCCATCAGACTCTCCCCTAGACTTCAATCGTTTAAGAGGTGCCTTAAAACCCATCTCTTTAGGAAAGCCTATGGCCTCCCAGAATAACCTCTACCTCACATACCTGTCTCTTGCTCTCTCCTCCAGCTCTGCTTCACTCCCACCTTATTTGATTGATATCTCCTGGCCTATTGTGTTTTATACCCCACCTCCTATAGACTGTAAGCTCGTTCGAGCAGGGTCCTCTTTAACCTATCATTCCTGTAAATGTTCTTGTAATTGTCCTTTTTATAGTTAAATCACCCCATCTTATAATATTGGCGCTAAATAAATGGCAATAATAATAGATAGATAAATAGAGAGATAAATAGATAGGACAGACAAATCATAGACTGTATTTTTTTTTGTTAGTATGTAGTTTGTAGTTGATAGTAGTTTGTTATTTTTATATTCTTACAGCTATTAAACTGTAAAGATAAAAAAATAACAAACTCTATATTGCATCATTCTCTAAAACTCTACTAGAAGGCTTTTCCTTTATCTTAACCCCTGTCTGTTAAATTGTATTTCGTAACCTGGCCTCCAAATACTCATATACAGGGAGCTTGGCTCAATAAAGGAATCACTGTAGAGAACATAGAGTTTCAGAGATCTATTTATTCAATGCAGTAGTCAGTCCTTAATTAACCATTTTCTGAAAACTTGGTTTATTTAATTAGAAACATAGAAACATAGAATGTGACGGCAGATAAGAACCATTCGGCCCATCTAGTCTGCCCAATTTTCGAAATACTTTCATTAGTCCTTGGCCTTATCTTATAGTTAGGATAGCCTTATGCCTATCCCATGCATGCTTAAACTCCTTTACTTTGTTAACCTGTACCACTTCAGTTGGAAGGCTATTCCATGCATCCACTACCCTCTCAGTTAAGTAATATTTCCTGATATTATTTTTAAACCTTTGCCCCTCTAATTTAAGACTATGTCCTCTTATTGTGGTAGCTTTTCTTCTTTTAAATATGGTCTCCTCCTTTATTGTATTGATTCCCTTTATGTAATTAGACATGTTTAGCATACAGGGTCATCTACTAAAGTGGTAATTCAAAGTGAATTCAAAGAGAATTTTAAATTCTCTTTAGATCATTTTTCCAATTTGGCTAATCGAACCATAAATTTTAAATTCACTTTTAATACTCTCTTAAGTAAATAGCTCTGTCAGAATAACTCTAAATCTGATTGATTGAAAAAAAATACAGGATTCAGAAAGATGTGAAAAGACAGAAGTCAGCCAAGGCTGAGTGAATGTAAATCATAGAATTTTCTTATAATGTATATTTTCACGTTATGTTCCAGCATGATTATGATTAGTTTCACACTGAAAATGCTTAAAATTCATTGTAAGTGATATAACTTACCCTACTTTTAGAAATTTGACACTCTTGTTGGAGAAGGAGGAGGCCAGATGAGTGGTGGACAAAAACAAAGGATTGCCATTGCTCGAGCTCTGGTCAGAAATCCAAAAATACTACTTCTGGACATGGCCACATCTGCACTGGATAATGAAAGTGAAGCTATTGTACAAGAAGCCCTTGATAAGGTTAGACGTTCAAGCAGTACATTGATAATATCTTGTAAAATAGTATTTAAAGGACCACTTATGGTACCCAGACCATTTAATCTCAGTGAAGTGTTCTGGGTTAGGTGGCATGTAGTCTTAATACAGCAAAGTAAAACTCTGCTGTTTTGTAGAAATGACAATGTTTACCTTGTAGGGTTAAACACACCATTATTGAATGTGTTCCTGACAGCCACTAGCGGAGATTCCTGTGCAATGACCAAGTTTGACTGCCATCTAACATTGATTATGAGGATATCACACACCATCAAATGCCGGTCAAAGGGAATCATTGGATTCAATGCTTCCCCATGAGGAACATGTGATTGGATGAACATGTGCATTTCAACCCCCATGCTCCTCTATGAGGTGCATTGGATTGGGCACGAAGCTGGGAAGTGGCGACTCTTGAGTTTAAATGCTGGAAGAAAGGTTAATTACAAACCTTTCGGTTTTAATTTCATTTTGTCCAGCCCTACATCTAACTATTGAAGATAACATTATAGCATTAAGATTGCTCGTTTGTATTCCTAACACTATAATGTTCCTTTAACATGATTCAATATATAAAGTAGACTGTGGAAGCTGCAAAGTATAATGTAGGTAAATCAACAATATAACACTTAGCCATAACATTGATGTTTTCGATTATGTAGTAGGCTTATTGAGCCCTGCATAATAAGAATTATATCAATAATAATTAATTATGAACTCAGTCTTCATGTAAAAGTATTGTGATGCCACAATAATATTTATTTTCCAGCTGAACTTTTAGTGTGTTACTGAATTTATATAGCCGAACTCAGTGGCAAACTGTTACTGTTATCTTTGCAATCTGTTATCACTTTATGCAATCATTTCATTACAAGAACACACCCAGAACTAATCTTACTTAGAATATCTTGTGGTTTTATCTTGTTTCCGGTGCTACTTAACTGCCAGCAAAGAACATCAACAGTGTCAAGATTGGTACATTTAGTCTATTGATACCTTACACATTCTTATGTGTTTAAAAACAAAATTTATCTACATTCTTACAGCAACCACTTATAAATAGAGAATGTTGTGAACTAAACCATGGCCTGCAGAAGAATATATATACTTTTTAGAAAATAACATTTTAGTGATAAGGTCTCTCCTAAGTTTTCATGCGTTGATAGTACTTTAAGTGACTGAATTCCTTTTTTATTTTTTTCCTAAGCACTCTAGTTTTTATAAAATACATAAGAAAAAATAGAGACTACTTTTCCTTATGCATATGATTAAACAAGTTCCTGTTTGAGCTGCCAATCAAGTTTACCCACAATCCATCAGTAAAATGAATCGCACAAAAGGGAAAACAGCAGACATGATGGGTAGAGTAGAACAAATGACTGTGAGCAGATATTAAGATCTGGAACATGAAAGAAAACAATAAAAATAAAGAAAAGTAGCAATGGGGTAGTGTAATCATTAAAACACGGGGGGCACAAGGACAGGAAAATGAAAAGAAAAATAACAAACAAAAATGATAGGTCCACTTTTAAGTATTATTGAGCAAACTGTTTTAGATACGTGAACCATTTTCTAAATAAATTTTCAATGTATTCATTTTGTATTTCATCACGCAGTTATACTCTATTAATTTCTGCTTTTCATGTTTTAAACAAAACAAAGCAGCACAACAACGTTAAAAATAAAGATGATGTGAAATGTGCTGTTTTCTGTATGTCCTTATTTTATAAGACCTACCTCCTTTTCTTGTGTTGTGATTGGCTCGTTACATTTCTAAACTAGGAAATATAACCGGCCAAGTCCAGCGCTAGACACAGGAGAGTTTCATGATATATATGGCATATATATCATAAACATGTTATTTCACCATACTAATGTTGACTGTGTTGGGACTTGACTGAAATTCCAACCCTGTCAAGAGATATACTGAGACAAAATAGAAACTAGTTTGTCTCAGTATTTTTCCTACTCCTGATATTTCTAGACGCTGGGCAGAGATACCACAGTCTAGAAGTGTTAATCCCCCCAGCCATCACCAGTAGGCTGCAGAGAATTGGCTCTGTCTATGAAGGATCCCATGGTCTCGCGAGGTCCTCAATAGACCTCAATGCTGTACTCTCACCATGAGCTGAAGAGGACCCAACTGAGGAAGATGGCCAAGCCCATGAGGGACAGGTTCAGGTATTTATTTGCTCCCCAGCCATCGGAACCCCTGCGGCAATGTCACCATCAGGGGTCTTTGCGAATTCTGCAAATTCTTAAGACGGTGACAGTGATGCTTTGATAGTGCTTTTGTCACATTAACCTTTTGACAGCACAATCAGTACATGTATTTTTGCTGAAGATTCCATTTAACTCTGAATGCTAATATTATTTTTATTGGTTTCTCAATATTATTAAGGTACGCATTGGAAGAACAACGATTTCGATAGCTCATCGCCTTTCCACAGTCAGAAATGCAGATATAATCGTGGGATTTGATGGTGGAAGAGCTGTGGAAAAAGGAACACATAATGAACTTTTGAAATTAATGGGTGTCTATTATACATTAGTCACTCTGCAAAGCCAAAATGAATGTACAGGTAATAAACATAATATATCTTAAAATTAATCATTTGTACTCCTTTGCTTAGAAAATGATTTATCAAAAGAAAGATACGTGCTAATGACTCAAACAATTTAGACTTTTTATTATGTATGTTTTATTTTGCATTTTTCCATAATATATTTATTTATTTGACAATTTTTATTTAAAAAAAATCAGTTTCATTCAGGGATACCACTACTTGGCAATAAAATAGCAATAATTACAGCTTTTAGCCGTTCAAAGGTGAGATAACATACTGTGTTTTTATAAATTAGAAACTGCCAGAAATAGTGTTTTGTACAAATTAGAAACTGTAGAAATTACATTGCAGAATAGTCAGCTATTCTTATTTTCCCATCTTTAACATTGTACAGTGTACTGTCATACTCAGGGGGGCCAAAGACAACGTGCTGCCTGGGTCAAAGGATGAAATGCTGCCCCACCACCCCACCACCCCACCACCCCATCCCCGCACCTCACCCCCCCAAACCTCGCGCACATCCAGGAGACGCAGTGTGTGTGTTGTATGCAGTGTGTATAGTGAATGCATTGTAAGCATGTGTATAGTGGATACAGAGTGTTTGTGTTGTGGATGCAGTGTATGTGTGGATGCAATGTCTTTGTAGCGGATATTGTGTAGTGGGTGCAGTGTTGGTGTTTGGGTAGTGGGTGCAGTATCTGTGTAGTGGGTGCATGTAGTGTGTGCAGTGCGTATGGTGGATGCAGTGTCTGTGTGCAGTGCATGTAGTGTGTGTAGTGGATGCAGTGTCTGTGTGTAGTGGATGCAGTGTCTGTGTGTAGTGCACGTAGTGTGTGCAGTGTGTGTAGTGGATGTGGTGTCTGTGTGTAGTACATGTAGTGTATGCAGTGTATCTGTGTAGTGTGTGTAGTGGATGCTGTGTCTGTGTGTAGTGCATGTAGTGTGAGTAGTGGATGCAGTGACTGTGTGTAGTGTTTGTAGTGTGTGTAGTGGATGCAGTGTCTGTTTGTAGTGCATGTAGTGGATGCAGTGTATGTGTGTAGTGCTTGTAATGTGTGTAGAGGATGCAGTGTCTGTGTGCAGTGCATGTAGTGTGTGTAGTGGATGCAGTGTCTGTGTGTAGTGCTTGTAGTGTGTGTAGTGGATACAGTGCATGTGTGTAGTGAACATAGTGTGTGCAGTGTGTGTAGTAGATGTGGTGTTTGTGTGTAGTGCACGTAATGTGTGCAGTGTGTATAGTGTATGCAGTTTCTGTGTGTAGTGCCTTTAGTGTATGCAGTGTATCTGTGTAGTGTGTGTAGTGGATGCTGTGTCTGTGTTTAGTGCATGTAGTGTGTGTAGTGGATGCGGTGTCTGTGTGTAGTGTTTGTAGTGTGTGTAGTGGATGCAGTGTTTGTGTGTAGTGCATGCAGTGGATGCAGTGTCTGCGTGTAGTGCTTGTAGTGTGTGTAGTGGATGCAGTGCCTGTGTGTAGTGCATGTAGTGTATGCAGTGTCTCTGTGTAGAGCATATCTGTATAATGGGTGCATGTAGTGTGTGCAGTGGATGCAGTGTCTGTGTGTAGTGGATGCAGTGTCTGTGTGTAGTGCATGTAGTGTCTCTGTGTAGTGCATGTAGTGGATGCAGTGTCTGTGTGTAGTGCTTGTAGTGTGTATAGTGGATGCAGTGTTTGTGTGTAGTGCATGAAGTGTGTGTAGTGGATGCAGTGTCTGTGTGTAGTGCATGTAGTGTATGCAGTGTCTCTGTCTAGTGCACGTAGTGTTTGCAGTATGTGTAGTGGATGCAATGTCTGTGTGTAGTGAATGTAGTGTGTATAGTGGATGCAGTGTCTGTGTGTAGTGCCTGTAGTGTGTGCAGTGGATGCAGTGTATGTGTGTAGTGCACGTAGTGTATGCAATGTCTCTGTGTAGTGCATGTAGTGTATGGAGTGTATGTGCATGGTGCTTGTAGTGTATAAAGTGGGTGCAGTGTCTGTGTGTAGTGCATGTAGTGTATGTAGTGGATGCAGTGTCTGTGTGTAGTGCTTTTTGTTTGTGTAGTGGATGCAGTGTCTGTGTGTAGTGCACGTAGTGTGTGTCGTAGATGCAGTGTCTGTATGTAGTGCATGTAGTGTGTGCAGTGTCTCTGTGTAGAGCACAGAGTGTGTGCAGTGTGTGTAGTGGAGGCAGTGTCTGTGTGTAGGGCATGTAGTGTGTGTAGTGGATGCAGTGTCTGTGTGTAGTGCTTGCAGCATGTGTAGTGAATGCAGTGTCTGTGTGTAGTGCATGTAGTGTGTGTAGTGGGGCTGTGAGGGATCCTGCCCCTGTAAAATTACCGCCTGGAGCCGTGACTCCACTGCTGCCAATGGATGGTCAGGCCCTGGTCATACTTACCTTTTCTGAAGCTCCCCGATACAGGGGCAAGGTCAGATGCTGTACGCTTCACGTGCAAGTCTATTTGTGTGAAGTCGCGCCAACAGCACGTCTCGAAGTGCCGAACCGATTGGTTCACACAAACCAATCGGTTTGCATGAACAGAAACTCCTGAATTCATCATTCGGCTAAATTCGGGTCTTTAGGCGCTCTACAGTGATGCAGACCAATGGTATTGGTTCACTGGCGTTATAAGCCAAGGCTTTTCAGTAGCAAGTTGCCCTGTTGTGGTTCTTGTATACTCAAGAGTGCGCTTCATATTTTGGATTTCCTATCACTGACTTTGGCTTGTTCATTCATTTCTCCGCTTTCTGTGGTCCATTTATGTTGTACTCTCCTACGTTTGACCTTGGCTTTCTCCTTAACTACTCTTTACGTTAATTTAGTCCATTCTATGTTATACCTCTCCTTTAGTAGATTAGGGTCTGCGTGTTTTGGGTTCTTCTACTGTGACATGTACATCGATGCCAAAATTATGTCAAGACAAAAACATTAAACAATTACTTGACTACCTTTTAAAATAAAATGTAATTGTTTTACAATTTAGAAATATAATCATTTAGAAATAGTAACAAGCACAGCTGAGAGAAATACATAAATATGAAAAAGCTAAATGTTTTACATGACAATTGGTAACATTGTGTTTACGGTAACAACGCTAAGCACAAGGACTAAGAAGCATTGAGGTTAATTTGGCAATTTAATTTGCAAGTTTCATTTGATCATTTGTATATGTGCATCCTGCTTGATGCATTAGTCCCTAGTCCTGGGCCGATCATGGTCGGTGAAAAAATGTAATAATCTTATGTAATCTACATTCCAAGTACCCATGCCTGAGGTATTAACATACAGTAATAGGTTTTATTCAGTTCTTTTGGCTTAATTTTAAATATTGTTTTAATTATTGACAATACAGAAACTGCCATAAGGGAAAATACTGTTCCAGAAAAACAGAGAACCTTCAGCAGAGGAAGCTATCGATCAAGTTTACGGTTTGTTTTCACTTTATCATTAAAAATAAAAATATTTTATGTTCAATATGTAATAATGTGATTGATGTTAAATCATAAATATACAATATTTATAATCTGTTTTTAACACACGTGTGTAGGAATAATAAAAATATACCACAGTAGTATAAAAAGAAGCAATACTTATTTTAACAAGTTTAAAGATGAGTATTATATCTTTGTTATTTTATTTATTTATTTATTTTTTTAAGGCATTATCTATTTAATGCAATAAAAAACTGACACTTTCTGCCTATTGTGTCCCTTTGATGATCAGAAATACTCTTTCAGGGACTAATTGACCAGCGAATACTCGGTTTATTACATAATCACACCCTGTAATTTAATTAAGTATACTATAGGGTTTATACTATGTATATTGAGTTGTGGAGAGTTGATATTAAATTACAAAGTTAAGGCCTATTTGCCAGCACTGGAGAATATTTTAACTCAAATTAGCCTTCCAACCCAGCTATTTCCCCATATATTATATTTACATACCTCCCAGATTAGAGGTGAGAAAACAGGACATAGGGTGGATCCATGGGAAGTGGGCCAATTACACAACTTGCTTTACATGGGATGTCCAAAGGGGTGATCTAGCCATAATATAAGGACGACCCACCCAGAAACGGAGTGAGTCAGCCTAGCATGAATGCATACCGGGGTGACAGGCAGCCTCCCTGGCCGGCCCACTCAGGGCAGATCACACACACAGCACTTTTGAAGTGCTCTGGACGTAGGCTCAATGCCATAAGTTTAATTAGCGTACTGCTAAGAATGTCTAATGATACTCTCATGGCATACTGCAAGCGTGTCTATTAATACTCTCGTGGTGTACTGCAAGCGTGTCTATTAATACTCTTGTGGTGTACTGCAAGCATATCTACTAATACTCTTGTGGTGTACTACAAGTGTGTCTATTAATACTCTCGTGGTGTAACGCAAGTGTGTTTATTAATACTCTCGTGGTGTACTGCAAGCCTATCTACTAATACTCTCGTGGTGTACTGCAAGTATATCTATTAATACTCTTGTGGTGTACTGCAAGCTTGTCTATTAATACTCTTGTGGTGTACTGCAAGCGTGTTTATTAATACTCTTGTGATGTACTGTAAGTATGTCTATTAATACTCTTGTGGTGTACTGCAAGCTTGTCTATTAATACTCTTGTGGTGTACTGCAATCGTGTCTATTAATACTCTTGTGGTGTACTACAAGCGTGTTTATTAATACTCTAGTGGTGTACTGCAAGTATGTCTATTAATACTCTTGTGGTGTACTGCAAGCTTGTCTATTAATACTCTTGTGGTGTACTACAAGCATGTTTATTAATACTCTAGTGGTGTACTGCAAGTATGTCTATTAATACTCTTGTGGTGTACTGCAAGCTTGTCTATTAATACTCTTGTGGTGTACTGCAAGCGTGTTTTTTAATACTCTCGTGGTGTACTACAGGCGTGTTTATTAATACTCTCGTGGTGCACTGCAAGCGTGTCTATTAATACTCCTGTGGTATGCTGCAAGCGTGTCTATTAATACTCTCACAATGTACTGCAAGCCTGTCTATTAATACTCTCGTGGTGTTCTGCAAACATGTCTATTAATACTCTCACAGTGTGCTGCAAGCGTGTCTGTTGATACTCTCATGGCGGACTGCAAGTATGTCTACTGATACACTCATGCTGATATTAAGGAACTAACTTGGTGGAACAGGAGCCTGAATTCAGGATAGTCCTGCCAAACCTGGAATGGTATGGAGCTATGTATGCATAGGCAACTCACCGCCATTGCTTAGTGAATGGACATTTAGGACGCTATTGATTATCTATGTGATTAATCTATCTCGAATTATTCTTAGTGTGAGTGCAGGGTTTTAATGCAGTGCAGTGAAGTTATTATACAGCATTGCATGGAGTTAAAATTGCAGGTGTCGCGTTTTAAAAAACCAAAGCCCCTAATTGTTTTGCTACACAGCAATTCCCCTGTTTACATTGAATTCCCGACAATTTTCACTTTAGTTAATAACCCTGAAAATGTATTTTTATAACAGCTTCAGACAAGTGTTTAATCTAGTTGCTATGAACTAGGGTCCAAGCTCATGGAACATCTTACCACGCTTAAATGCTTGTCAGCCAATTACCTACATGAGCATAAATGCTAGTTAGTATTTATTTTTAACTTTACAGAAACACTCTACGCCTTCGTTCAAAATCTCAGCTCTCACAAATATTTCCCGATGCTCTTTCTGGAAATATAAATGGAGGATCTCTTTTGACAGTGAATGGTTTGGGTGGCACAGAAGAACTTGTAGAACCACCTGTATCTAAAAAGGTATGATGTTTAAACAATTAACAATTATAGAATACATAGTGGTTTATCAAAGAAAAAAAATAAAACTAAAACAAAACAGGTAGGTTTCCTTAAAAATACTATGGGAGCTAATTAAATAAAGAATCACTTAATTAGCTCCCATAGTATTTTTAAGGAAATCTACCTGTCCAATTATGTCTACTCTAAAATATACTCAAGTAGAGATTGTAGCCATATTAGTCCAGTGATGGAGATGTAAAAAGCAGATAAGATTTGTAGCTTGTAATACCTTTTTGATTTTAGAATTTTCTGTTTTTTTACATCTAAACTATACTCAGAATTCTAATTTTCTAATTTCAACTCTAAAATTGTATGATTCAAATGCTCGATATGCAATATTGTGTATTGTGTTCTACCTAAATGTGCAATCAATTCTAGATTTTCTGAATTCAATCATAGTCATGCGTCAGAGTGATTATTTAAGGTGACTGATCATGTAAGCTAACTGTGAATTTACAAAGCAAATGTTCGTGAACAATATATATTATACAGTTAGCTATATTCAGCTGGTTTTTATTCCTGTGCACATCATTAATAAATTATTGCTAATGTCTCTTGGTTATTTTGTGATTGTAGTGTAGTGAGTTGAGAATCACCTTGATAAGTGAAATAGCAGAGCCGAAATAGGAAATCAGCTAAATTAGACCTGTAGAACCCGAGTTGCATGTCAGTTGTCAATTCACCACATCCTGTGAGCTTGTGATCTTACATCATTTTTTCTTGTTATACATTTCCCAAGATTTTCTCGGATTCCAAAAACTGTTACTCTTGATTGCTGATGTTCAATCAAAGGGCCATGTTTCTAATTAGAGACAGGGATGTCCTTTTGTTGTTAAAAAAAATGCTGATTTTTATTTATTTGATTTTCAATTTGATGTGTTCCTTTACTGCATTAGACTTTTAAAAAAATCTTGAAGTTACCTGTAAACCAGTGAAAGTAGAGTCTCATCACTGCAGCCTGATCTGTCTCATTAAGCAGGATGATCGCTGCTTAATCAGATGTTTCTTGTAGAGATGTTTTGAAGACACATGTGAGTCACTAATAGCTATCTGCCAATTCAGTGCTTCTCAGTGTTGCAAACCTGAGGGACACCTGCTGCCATTTAATGAGAGAAGATGAAATAGATGACTGTAACACCCACTAAACTCAGGCACGACATCTATGTCCCAGTGATGCCTTTATTCCTCTAGAATGTAAACTCATTTGAGCACACTCTCTGTTCCTGTGCGTCCAACTGGTCTTCTTGCAAGTACTTATCTGTTAGTCCACCTATTGTGCAGCGCTGCGGAATATGTTGGCGCATTATAAGTAATAATAATAAAAAGATATATGCCTGCCCCTTAACCCTTGCACTGCCCTAACACACTATACTACACATTAACCATTAACTCTAAATTACACTGTCACTAACACTAGCAATCAAACTCTACACTACCTTAATAGTTACGCTAACCCTTACCCCCCTTGCCCTCCCCCCAAAAAAAATATATATACATAATAGCAAAGCATGTATTAAGGAAAAACAGTGTCATCTTGGGTTTTGGAGACATTTGTAAATGTGATTATATTGTATCCAAAACCGCTCAATGGATTTATTTTCATGATTCACCTTTATGTGTCTTCTATATTTTTGGGAATATTATTTTCCTTTTTAAGTTGTAAAATATAGATATCTTTTGCTGTGGTTTTCAGAATAAGAAGAAACACAAGAAAAAACCAAAGACGGCAGTTGTGACCAGAGTTTTGAAATACAATAAACCGGAATGGCCATATCTCTTGGTTGGATCTATAGGAGCTGCCATTAATGGGACAGTAACCCCACTTTATGCTGTACTGTTCAGCCAGATACTTGGGGTAAGATACAAACTTAGTAATCAGATTGGCACTCATTATATTAACATTGTAGAAGAAAATTGTCTGGTAGTTTTACATTTCTAATTCACATTATTTTTTTTAAGTCTGACTTATTTTTATATAAGATGCTGATGATGAAAAATGTTATTGAATCCATGGGGAAGGGCATTGTACATTCTAATTCTATTATATGGAATAATATATGAGAGTCATCTTTACAAATAAAATAGAAAGGGAGGTTTGTGGGAATTGTTATAATTATGCGATCTATTAAGCCACAGACAGAAATCCATGTCTATACTGATTCTAGATTGCGGTGAATTGATCTTTTCTTTTTTAAACCAGGGTTTATGAATAATTGCTATGGGTTTTGCAAGTTTTTAATGGTAGAGAATTAAGCAGGGACATGATCTATACACTAAAATTGCTTACTTAAACTAAAGTCTTGATGCCTATAATATCCCTTTAAAGGGACACTGTAGTCACTATAATCATTTCATCTCTTTGAATTGGTTATAGTGCCTGGAGTACCCTGGCACTGTCCCTCCATTCAGTGTTGCACCATGTTCATGCAGTATGCCACAAAATAAGTGTTCCTGGCCACCCACAGTCAGGCCCCTTCAGTATGTGTAGCTAAGGTAGAGATTACACACTTCCTTGTTCTCATACCCATTCATACCGTCAGTTGGAACTCTGACAGGCTAAAAGCAGTCAGCTGACACTCTCAGACAATCACAGCTGCCTATTGCTGCTCAGGCTAATACTTCCTTATTAGCCAAAGCAGCACAGAGAGGATGGATTGCCGGGGACACTTGTTTAGCATTAAAGCATTAAAACTTTAAAACTGTTTAATGCTGAAAGAAATGATGGCACCAGGGGACTCCAGACACTATAACCAGTTTAATGAGATGAAGCAGATACAGTGCCTACGGTGTCCCTTTGCATGAATAAACAGAAACAGAACGGTAGGAATCGCTGGCTTCACAACATCATAGTGTTGATAACCTGAAGACTTCAATAGTATTAAACACAATCTTTAGAAATATTATAAATTCTTTCTGTTTGGCTAAAAATGCATTTATAATAGCACGGACCACTTGATTGAAGAGTTTTAGAATGTATAAAAAAAAATTTTCAAGTCTCTCTTCTTCTGTTTTAGACATTTGCATTACCGGATGTGAATGAGCAAAGGAGACAAATAAATGGAATATGCCTTCTCTTTCTTGGCCTCGCCGGAGTATCATTTGTTACCCAGTTCTTGCAGGTAATATAGAGTTCTTGCATGTGATCTAGAGAAAGTGAGAATCGGGTGGCTACTGATGTGCCTGTTGGGGATGGTTACAAAATAAATGTGACTCCTAGTTTAAAAAAAACTTAAATTGGATCTTAAAGATGGAAAATGTAGATTTCATAATTAGTTTTTCAAATTTTCCTGATGGCTATGAGATGCTTCACAGGGTCTCACCGATAAAATACATCTATTTTCATGAATTACAACATTATATGACAATGGTATATAAATATATACTCCCTAAATGTTGCTCTAATTTAAAGTTCTATCCAATTAAATTTGTCTTTCAAAATATATCGTAGTTTGAATGATTATTTTAAATAGCTGTTTTGGAGACATTTTAGTTATGATTTAGTAACTTCCTTTTACGTTTAAACTCCTCTTTGCAAATGCTCTACAATTATTAACCTCTGTACCCTGAAACCCCTCCCTTATTTTTATTCTTCTAACTGATGTTTTTATGACAAATCAGCTTTCACCAGGAAGTCGAAAGAAAGTAATGGAGATGAATAAAATAAGGCAAATTACTGCTTGATAAAAGCCACTGATAGGGTAAAGTGGGTGACGGAATACAATTTACAGAAAAGTCAAGGAGACTTAGTTTAATTAGGCACCCAAACAACTTTTGTTTAAAAAAGCAATTTTGGTGTATAGATCATGCCCCTACAGTCTGACTGGTCAATTCCCTGCCAATTAGGAGTTAAATCACTTTGTTTATGGAGCCATAGCCACACCTCCCTGCATGTCAGTTGTACCTTCCTAAACATTTCCTGTAAAGAGAGATCTAATGTTTAAAGTTTCAGTCTGTTCAATTTAGAATTTCTTAACTCCTACTCTAATAATTGCTTTCTAAACCCTACAGAAATCCACTAGCGTTTGCGGAATATGTTAAAATGTTAGATGTGTTAAAATTCAATTAACAGAGTAGGAGATAAACACTTCTAAACCAAGTCAACATGTGATTGAAATTTAAACCATTTTTTTCATGCAGGTTGTGTGAGTCACAGCCAAGGGAGGTGTGGCTATGGCTCCATGGGAATAAACAAAAGTGATTAACTCCATAATGGCAGAGAATAAAGCAGTGATACTGCAGGAACATAATTTATACCCAAAACTGCTTTATTAAGCTAAATATGTTTTGATGCTTATAGTTTTACTTTAATACATAAATTAAATACATCATTTTGAACAGAACATATTATTTCTACAAGATGTTTTAGAAAATACTCCCTGGCTACGTAGCTTTCTATAAAATCAAAAAAAAAATTTAGTTACATATACAGTTCAGACATCCGGGGTGCACAGTCATCTTAAAGAAAGAATTAATAATATATATATTTGTATACGTTCCAATTACATGCAAATGCCCTCACACTGTTTTATTAACAGAAAATGGTATATTCATTATCATCTTATCTTTGATACTGCTCTCTTTTTTTCTCACTCTCGGGCTCTAACAAAAATGTGTATCTTATGCTAATATTTAGAATGCAGGTGATAACGTTTATGCTGATATATCAAAGTATCATAATATAATGCAAGGATGTGAATTAGAAATCCTTTCTTTGACAGCTCTTCCCCATAAATTGCCGCTCATCATTCTTGAGCATTTTGGTTTAAAGAACAGTAGTTTATAAAAAAGTAACATCAAAAAGCTTCAAATAATCACTGTCACTTCTTCTTTCTATTGTAATGACAGTTTAATGAGAAAAATTACTCTTTGAACAATGAAACTATCTTTCAAAGAGGCAATGTGCTTTAATGTCATGTTAAAGTATATAGATAACGATGTGATGTTGTGTTTGCTCCTCCTAAATACACATCTAACCACATGCACAAGCAGCAAACAGCAGTAAATCCAGAATATTTTAAAGGGGCAGTAAATCCCATAAACTGTATGTTCCTCACTGTGGTGGCAATCATTGGAGGCCTGAAATATAGCTGATCTATTCTTTAAAATTGGGCAAGCTAATAGAAAGAAATAATAGAAATTAGAAAATATTTCCATGATGTAAGTGAGGTTGCAGGGTTAATCGCTAGTGGATTTCACAGTTAAGGCTGAAGAATTTGAAATGGAAGCATAGCTGAGAATGTTTCCAATTTGGCTATTTTTGTTTTGATTTTGAAATTCACTTTGAATTGTCACTTGAGAGAATAACCCTGTAAGGTTATTTAAGAAGCGTGCACCACTTTGGAATGTAATCAGAAAGTTACATTTCAGATCACATTGTTATGTAACAATATAATGTGACAGTCACTATACCTGCATAGTTTAGATGTACAGAGGAATTATAGACCGTAAGAATGGTCACTACTTTAGACAAGATCCACCGTCAAACAGTGTCTTAAATAGACCAAGTATTGCACAAGTTGTTAGTACAGGAAGAAAGGGCTTATGCCTGAAAATGCTTTCCGGTAGAGTATGTAACAAAAAATTTCAAGAGTTCTTCAAAGCTCCACTTCTATAAAAAGAATGTTACATACTCTACAAGAAAACATGGAGGTGCTACCCCTTTCTTCCTGTACTACCATCTTCTATTTAATTGGAATAAGGAGAGACTTCAGATTGGGTGTTCGAGCAGCCTACTCTCATCCAACCAATACAACTTAAGTGCTGAACCACCGTAGACTATTCCACAAGCTGCTAGGCCTAATCAGTTCTTGTCTGATTTAATCTTGCATGCTCTGATCAACATGAGTTATATTTTTTTTCAGGGTTTTGCATTTGCAAAATCTGGAGAGCTACTTACTCGACGTTTAAGAAGAGTGGGATTTCAGTCAATGCTGGGCCAAGAAATTGGATGGTTTGATGACAACAATAACAGCCCTGGAGCTTTGACCACTAGACTTGCTACTGATGCATCACAAGTTCAAGGGGTACGGTAGAGTATCAGCACAACGTAATGCTTACATCCAAATAGATGTTTTAAATGCCCAATCCACTTGCCCACAATTGCCCTTCTAGTGGATGAATAAGGCATGCCCAGTACCGTAGTCCTTTCCCTTTGACCATTACCCTAAGTAAAATACCTGATTATTGGATCAGTTTTCTTCACCATCCTAAGAAAGGAAATAAGTTAGCACTACTGGTTAAATGAATCTTAACCCAGAATAAAGGGGTTAGGGGTATTAGGGGAAGTATATACCATTAATTTTAAAAGTCCTGATGTATGTAGCTTGAAAAAGCCTTTTCATTGTCACATGAGACTACAGTATTGTCAACAAAAGTATAGTAGTAACATGTGTGTTTAATTAATCTGTATAAATCCTATATAGTATTTAAAGGATCACTATAGTGTCAGGAAAACAAAGCGGTTTTCCTGGCACTATAGTGCTCTGAGGGTGCCCCCACCCTCAGGGTCACCCTCCCGTGGCGCTGAAGGGGTTAAAACTCCTTCAGCAGCTTATCTTATTCCAGCGCCAGGCTACCTCGGCGCTGGTGACCTCTCCTCCCCCTCCGACGTCAGCGGAGCCGTCCGATGTCACAGGATCCGAATGCGCATGCGAGGCAAGTGCCGCGTGCGCATTCAAGCTGTCAATAGCAAAGCATTTCTCAATGCATTCCTATGGACGCACTGCGCGATGGAGGCATAATATGCCTCCAGCGTCGCAGATGCGCCTCTAGTGGCTGTCAGGAAGATAGCCACTAGAGGCTGGCTTAACCCCAAATGTAAACATAGCAGTTTCTCTGAAACTGCTATGTTTGCATCTGAAGGGTTAAAACCTGAGGGACATTGCACCCAGGCCACTTCATTAAGCTGAAGTGGTCTGGGTGACTATAGTGTCCCTTTAATATCAAACAGGACTATTAATGGGTTTTGAGTGTTTTTCAAGCAAAATGTATTAGTAATAATTGCATGAAATTGACATTTACAGAAACAAATTATCAGGAGACTTGCTAGTGGAGGACTTACAGGATCTGTTTGCCCAATTTGGATACATAACAGGCACAAGTCTAATTTTTACACTTCTTCATTGTTAGCCCCAAGTCCCATGTAATACAGAGAAAGACATAACAGCTCTAATTATGTTATTTGTCATAGTGCAACATTATGGCACCATATTTGGAGTTAACTGTATAGCACAGTGGAAGAGGGTGTGGGTGTACGGTTTTAATGCTGTGGGGGGAAGGGTTAATACAGCATAGTTTAGGGTTATTATAACAGGTGTGGATTTTATAAAATGCTATATCAAAATAGAATGTAGCTTTTGATTTAGCATTACCTGTATAGGACTACCAATACAAGATAAACTTAAGATTACATGCACTGTGTTAAAAAACTGGTTGCTGATGATGGGTTTAATTTACTATTTCACATTTGCAGTATTCTGTGACTAAAATAACATTTAAACAAGTCTAATTGTTATTATGTACACTTTAGGCCACAGGTGCTCAGATTGGAATGATTGTGAATTCGGTGACGAACATCCTCGCTGCTATTATAATTGCATTTTACTTTAGTTGGAAGCTGAGTTTGGTTGTTCTATGTTTCCTGCCACTAATTGGATTGTCCGGAGTTCTTCAAGCTAAATTGCTTACAGGGTTTGCAAATCAGGACAAAGAAGCTTTGGAAGAAGCTGGGAAGGTAATTAACTGTGTTCAGAGAAGTAGCAGAAGTAGCAGAAATGATAGCTAAAGTACCATAATTTGGAAAAATACTGAATGACATTAATATAGTCAAGGTCATCACAGCAGTGGATATGGACATGTGCATCGCATCTACATGCCCCAATCCTTACTGTCACAATGTCAACATGGGAATGTACATATAGTATGGTTAAATAATTCATACTGCCGTAGAATCAGGCAAATGAGCACTCACTGCCATTATCAAACACATATTATTTACCTTTCAAGGTCATAGAGGTAATAACAAAAACTCCTATTGAAACTATATGAAATCTTTACATTTGCTACATTAAATACATTGATTTTTTTTATACTGTTTAAAGTGATACCATGTGTGATTAGCATTTTAATTACATCGTCCATATTCTCCAGAAGATGACATTTGCTGTTTTATAGAACTTGTGTGTCCATGGAATTTTAATGAAAGGCTCAGTTCCCTAAAGGGTGAAATTTTGCCGCCATGCTATGCAGCTAAACTATGACCAGTTTAGTAAGAATTAATACACGTACGATAGTTCAGAGGGTTAGCTAGATTTCATGATAATTTTTGGTATAACTTTTGAAAGCTGATTCTCAATTTGAACCATATTTACTATGTGCAAAAATAAGCAAAGACTGTTGAAGTTCCACCGAGTAGAACTTTAATAGGCGCTTGTGTTTCCTGTTGTACTTTGTATAAATCTCTTCACTGGTAATCGTCCACTGCAGTTTGTTATTAGACCAAATTGAGGTTGCACACGCTCAGTGACAGGATATTTTGCACTGCGTTGTACTAAAGTATGTAGAGGCGAATTCCCAGCAATCCAAAGGAACACAGAAAAGCTTGGCACATGTAGTAATATCCAAATATCCAAAAGGCAGAGTTTATTTCAGGAAGAGATGCAGTAACATTTTGGCTCACATCCTGAGCATTTTTCAAACCTTGATAGAGACTCAGGATGGAGACCAAAACGTTTACTTGATAAAGACTCAGGAAGGAAGCTGAAACGTTACCTTGATAAAGATTCAGGATGGAGGCCGAAACGTTACTTTGATAAAGGTTCAGGATGGAGGCTGAAACGTTACCTTGATAAAGGTTCAGGATGGAGGCTGAAACATTACTTTGATAAGGCTCAGGATGTGAGCTGAAACATTGCCGTGATAAAGGCTCGGGATGTTAGCTGAAATGTTACTGTACCACTTCCTAAAATAAACTCTGCTTTTTTTGGATATTACTACGTGTGCCCAAGTTTTCTGTGTTTTGCTGCATGTTGTTATGGCAGATTGGATTTACCAGTGTAGTCCCTGACTAACACAACTTTTTATTAATCTACCTTCATGAAGAAAATGTTTTCTTACCATAATATACATATGTCCCACACCAGGAAATATTGCCCACAAAGAAAGGCAGGCAATTTCTTAATGTTCTCCTCTCTCAATATATATACTAGAATGCACATAAACTATAACATGAAAAGCAGTAAATCTTTCCCTAATGATGCTTTCACTTTAAATCAAACTGTGCAGTTTTGTGATGACTTGCATAATTTACTAGATATATGTTGTAGATGGACTATATCCCTTTAACAGAAAGTTGACCTCCTGTACTTACCAATTATTGAAATAGCCCAGCAATCTGGATAATCATTGTCACAAAGCTCTTTACAGATACGAATTAGCCAACTGTCAGGGAAAGCCAATCATTATTTATATATACTGTATTGGAGGTTACAAAAGAAGTCTGATCAATTCTAATTAATCTTTTTCCAATTAGACTTAAAGCATAGCTGTCATGAAAAACATGGTTGCACTTAAAAAAACAAAAAGATAAAACGTGCTAATCAAAAATAAATCCTGTTTATAGACAATATTTTTTTTTAGACAGTAGTTTCCATTGTATTTATTGTATAATGTATAGAACAATAAATTAACAAAGTATATGATAAAATCTAATGAAACACACATTCTTTTCTGGGATTGAGCCACATACACCGTGAGCAGACGTGAGCAAAAACACTTTTCCAGACAGATATTTTTAGGGACAAGTATACATTAACCGGGTTATTTAGTAAAATGAGAATTCAGAGTGAATTTAAAGTAAAATTCAAAGTGACTCAGTCACTCCCCACCCTGTAAATGAGATGTCAAAACGATAAAATCTTTTAAAATCACACAAAAAAAAATACAATTTAAAATTTTACAAGTTCTGGGTATGCCCCCAATTCCATTTTTTTTTTTGTAAAGATTAAATCTTTATAAAAACAGTTTTGGAATTTTACTGAAATTCCGACCCAGTCAAAGGATATACTCAGACAAAGTAGTATTTTTCCTCCTTTTGACACTTCTTGACAGTGGGTGGAACTACTGTCATCAAGAAATGTCAATCCCACAGACGTTATTAGTGACAGCTGCAGGGAATTGGCTCTGTTAATGAAGGGTCCCAGTCTCGCTGGATCCTCCATAGACCTCGATGCTGTACTGTCACGTATGCACAAGAGTACAGCCGTGACGTCTGCTCCTAGCAAGAGGACCAGCAGAAGATGATGGCGGCACCCCCGAGGAACAGGTTCAGGTAAGTTAAACTCACCTTTCCCTGCCCCATGGCTACCGGTTCCCCAGCAGCGATGTCACTATCGGGGGTCTTTGACGATGACAGTTTTGCTTTAAGGTCAAAATACCTGCAATGGAAAAATTCTCTAAGACGGCTATGTTTTTAGTTCGCTACTCTGGCCGTAAATCTGAAATTCACTTGGAATTCTCCCTTCCTCTTTATCTAACCAATTTAAATACGGTATTTGCCTAGCATAATGTCAATATTAAATCGCATTATAGTGAAGAGGTTATTTTGTCCTATTTCTCCATATTTTTGGTTGACAGATACCTTTTCTACCATTAACTAAATGTTTCCTTTTTCAGGTGTCAAGTGAAGCAATAAGTAACATTCGAACTGTCGCTGGACTAGGAAAAGAAAAAATGTTTGTGGAAATATATGAAAAGCAGCTAGTTTTGCCGTACCGAGCAGCCGTTAAAAAGTCCCATGTGTACGGAGCTTGCTTTGGGTTTGCCCAGTGCGTCATTTATCTGGCTTATGCTGCATCGTTCCGATTTGGAGGATATTTAGTCACTTTTGATGGTATCAGCTATATCGTAGTTTTCAGGTATAATACCTTAATTCAAAATTCAACTATAACAATATAGACTTATAAAGGCGCAGTTCTTTCCAAACCTTTTTGCTTGACTTATGTGGAATCTGAACTACTGTGTTTTGTTAAAGGAAAGGAGGATTTGGCTGCTGATATCATTGGCCACTAACCATTACTTTTCTTTCTCTTTGGGAAGAGAAAGGCTGTATTGTGCAGCAAGATCTAATGTACATTAACAGTGTTCCATAGTATACCACTTGGGGGCGCTAAATCCAACTAGAATTAAATGAATAGTTTTCAGTTGGTGATTTAGAAGAAGACAGCAGGTATTATAGAGGGACCACGTACGTTCCAGCTCCAAATTAATATTTTAAGACTATTTCAGTCAAATCATTTTTGCAGTAATTATTGGCAAATCAGTTCCGTTTCTCCTTTTTTTTTTCTTTTTTTTTGTATTTATTTTTATAATACTAATTTGGTTGACATAAATAAAAGTTTCAATAAAATTATATATTTTTTGCTAAGAAATGTGTAAAGCACAATATGCAGATGGAATGGTTTTTTTTCTTTCTCTGCAGAGTGATATAAAGTATATTTTTTTTACATGATAGTAGAACCATAGCAGGCACATAGAAAATATAGTTCCAGGTTCAACTTTTATCTTGTCCAAGTTTATTAAATAAATGAATAAATAAATAAAAGTCAAACACAGAGCTTCATTTGAAAACAATGTTGTAAATGTTTTTTTGAAAAGTATATAAATCATACTCAGTTTGAAAAGTTACCATTATCTGATAAACATTTTTATAAAAAATGGCCCACGCTGTCTTTGTGTGGCCTTTGCCTGCCTTCTCATCCACAATACCATGTATAACTGTAGTTTAATAGATCTCAAAATGTTTTAAAGAAATACTCCAAACACCAACCCGTACAGTGCACCCACAGATGTTCCCTGGTGCACCCTCACTGTAATTAAGCAAAACTGTTTGCAATGATTTGACTTCTTATCTGGGGTCCGCCGGGTTCTGTGCACTCCTAGCACCATAACTACTACAGTGCGCTCTATTGGTATGTAGCTTGGAGAGTTTCTTTAATTGTAATGAGAAAGTGCCTCTAGTGACTCTCTGTCTTACAGAGGAATGTTTTAGGCAAATTGTAAACACTGCAATTTCCCAAAAACAGCAATATTTTTTATTCCTGGACAAAATGAGGCTCATGTATGCACCAAACCCACTACATTAAACATGAGGGTTTTTGGTTCTAGAATGTCCCTGTGATTAGTCTGTTTGAAAAGGCCTGAAAAAAATGTTTATATAACTTCTACTGGTAATTAATTATAAAAATCTGTTCTTAGTTTACACGGGTTGTGCTGTGAACTCATTAAACGTCTTCGTCTTTCACAATCTTTAGAGTGATATCTGCTATAGTGATGAGTGGAACGGCCTTAGGAAGGGCATCTTCTTTTACTCCTGATTACGCCAAAGCAAAAATCGCAGCCGCTCAGTTCTTTAAGTTATTGGATCGCGTCCCAAAGACAAGTGTTTACAGTACAAATGGAGAGAAATGGGTGAGATATTTCTTCTGCATTTGAAATAATATTTCTATAAGGTGGATAGATAAAAACTGATGGGGAGAGCAAATTATGTTTACTATGGATAATATCTGAGAAACAGGACTTAATAATTTTAGTATGAATAATAAGTCCGGATTGCTAGATCTATTTCATTTATATGTTTCTACAGAGTTCTGGATTCTGTTTGCAGATCCTTGTTTTATCCACAGACTATGAAACAGCTTTCAGATTGTAATGGGTAATAGTAACTGCCCACCTGGGACTCAACTGATCCATAAATATGCACATTTAAGCTTAGTATCCCCTATCGAGTCATAGCTGTGAAATGTAATTGGTCACAGTGGTATGTTTTTTCTTGCACATGGATTGAAACGTTTTACATTGATAACACAGCTCAGCAAATTCCAAGGGCTCCGGTGACTTCTGTAAAGTAAATGTGGAAATAAAGAAGTTGCTATCAAAATATGAAATCCCCTCAGGACGTTCTCTCATTGAAAATGAGGATGCTTGGATTGTGCCATCTGTCACTTAGAACCGAGCACTTCTTCTTACAAAATGTCCCTGAAATATTACAGGATGATGGTGACTGTGACATAGAAAATTCAATGGATTTTGCAGCCAGAGACATTATGTCCCTGCTGCAATTTTAAAATGAATACCAGCTTTGTTTTCTGTTAAAGAAACCTTCAAAAGCACCATAACCACTACTGCCCAATGTAGAGGTTATGGCTCCAGCAGGTCCCCAAGCCATGGTTAGTAGTCAAACATTATTTTTAAGTGGTTTGAATTCTTACCAGTCCACTGGGTGCCACTTTCCTCTTCCTTTACGATCACCCATAAGTACAGTTAAAGTGGCTAGTAAAAACCACTTGAAAACATAAAAAATCATTTTTAAAATAACACTTTAGCTTAGCATATTATAATAAGATTACTTGATTAATCATATTATATGAGTTTACTGGTAACTCAAAACTCAGACCCAGCTCTCCTTCCAACATAGAACAAGGAACGGCAGAGAAATTTACCTGGAACACGCGCTACATATATATTAATAAGCTGCAGATTTATAAAACAAGAAATGTAGGACTGTTATCACTTCCTATTGAATACCAGCTTTTTGGTCATTGTTGATCTTTTCTGTTCTTTGCACTCTATATTGGTAATCTGCAGTCTATATAGCAATACACTGGAATCTATATAACATTTTTACTTATGTATAATAGTACCTAAATGAACCCATATAAAAATATCCATTGATATTATATCTTTATATCTGTGGCAGAGAGAGTGTTACGCCTGGACAGCACCAGAGTCAATGAGATTAATCTGCAGTGTGATTATTGCTAATTGAAATCTATGGCAGTCATGTAATTCAGTGAGATAGAAAATAAAAATGGTTCATTTCCATGCTCTGGTGATTATTTATTGGTTACCATAACTCTACAAATTTAGAATAGTCTTCATTAATCAGAATATCTTAAAATTACGCAGGACAATTTTAAAGGTGACATTGAGTTCCTGAACTGTAAATTCACATATCCAAGCCGTCCAGTTACGATGGTTCTACGAGGGCTCAATATTTCCGTAAAATCTGGACAGACTCTTGCTTTCGTCGGAAGCAGCGGTTGTGGAAAGAGCACCAGTGTCCAACTGCTTGAGCGGTTCTATGACCCCGATGAAGGGACAGTTGTAAGTAGAACAATTTTTATTTCATTAACCCCTTCACTACGAGCATTTTGCAGAAAAAAAGAACCACAGAATCCGAGTATTTTGGGTAACCTAGAAAGCAATGTTTAAATGGAATTTTCATTTTAGCATGCCTATATAGTGCATTATTTAATGAAAACAAAATTTTTAATTTTGCCTGGACAAAAAAAAGCTTTTAGAAATAATTGACCAATTAATGAGGTTACAGATATAAAAAACCTTATTGTAAATAAATACTATTTCTCAATACGTAACTTACTTTTTTTTTGCTCACAGTTTATAATCTTCTCACCTATACATTGTCTAATGTGCACTCTGTGACTAATGACAGAGTGAGGGAGGGAGGGAGTGACTAGTGACAGAGTGAGGAGGAGGTGACTAGTGACAGAGGAAGAGAGGGGGTGACTAGTGACAGAGTGAGGGGGTGACTAGTGACAGAGGGAGAGAGGGGGTGACTAGTGACAGAGTGAGGGGGTGACTAGTGACAAAGGGAGAGAGGGGGTGACTAGTGACAGAGTGAGGGGGTGACTAGTGACAGAGTGAGGTGGTGACTAGTGACAGAGGGAGAGAGGGGGTGACTAGTGACAGAGTAAGGAAGGGAGGGGGTGACTAGTGACAGAGGGAAGGAGGGGTGACTAGTGACAGGGTGAGGGAAGGGGTGACTAGTGACAGACTGAGGGGGAGGTTACTGGTGACAGAGTGAGGGAGGGGGTGACTAGTGACAGAGTGAGGGAGTGACTCCCCATCTTCCACTTGCTTCCCGTGGTCTTTCCCCATCTTCCCCTTTTATTTCCTACCTCTCTTTGCTCCCTCTGGTCTCTCCTAGGCTGCTGCTCCCTTCTCTCGCTAGCTGTGAGAGGTCTATGTGTGAGGAGAGTACAGGAAGTGATGTCACCCTAGCCCGGGCCTCTCCCCCATCACACAGAGTGCCGCATGGGATAGGAAGAAGGAGACCTGGTAGAATGAGAGCAGGTGAAGCTGCCAGGTCTCATTTGAGGATGAGGGGAGAGATAATGTGCAGAGTGGTAGGTTACTGGGGCCCTGTGCTCCATCAGGGGCCCCACAATCTATCAATGGACAAGATCTCTTTTTTTTTATTTTTTTTGCCGTTCCAGTTGGAGAGCTGCTGGGCCCCTGGCTGTCTCAGGCCCTTATTCCATGATCGATGTTCCCGAGTGGTCAGTCTGCCACTGGATGTGACAGAGTGTCTGCATGTGTGTGTTAAGGGGGATGATGAGACAAGGTGTCTGTATGTGTGTGTTTGGTGGGGTAATGTGTCAGGGTGTCTGTGTGCATGCTAGGGAGAGGGCAATGTGACAGGGTGTCTGTATGTGTGTGTTTGGTGGGGTTATGTGTCAGGGTGTCAGTGTGCATGTTTGGGAGAGGGTAATAAGACAGGGTATCTATATGTGTGTGGGGGATGATGAGACAAGGTGTCTGTATGTGTGTGTTTGGTGGGGTAATGTGTCAGGGCGTCTGTGTGCATGCTAGGGAGAGGGTAATGTGACAGGGTGTCTGTATGTGTGTGTTTGGTAGGGTTATGTGTCAGGGTGTCAGTGTGCATGTTTGGGAGAGGGTAATAAGACAGGGTATCTGTATGTGTGTGGGGGATGATGTGACAGGGTGTCTGTGAGTGCATGTGAGGGGTAATGTGACAGGCTGTCTATATGTGTGTGAGTGGGGGTATTCATATATCAGACAGTCTGTCTACTTGTATTTAGTATATATTCCAAAAGTATTATTGTCTGACAATCATCACCTCATGTATGCCCAACTATTTTGATTATAGGGTTTCCATCAGCATTAACACCTATATGTTCTACAGTTGTGAACTCAGTTATCTGATCTTACCACTCTAGACTTGTGGGTGAAAGGTAGCTAATGTTTTTCCAGTTCTGCCAAAGAATGGCAACCTTGCCAAACTATCCAAACTACCCTATAATTGCTACCTTTTGTTAGCTCCATCCAATGCTCTGGCTGTCAGACATAATTATTGTATATGATGACTGATGGTTTCAGAGGTTCAAAGTGCAATTGGATAAATATTTACAAAAACATAACATACAGGGATATAATTTCTAATTAGTGGGGTAATAGCTGCTTGCTCCAGGAGACATCTGACTGCTATTTTTGGGTCAAGAAGGAATTTTTTCCTAGTTTGTGGCAAAATTAGAAGCGCTTCAGACTAGGTTTTTTGCCTTCTTTTGGATCAACAGCAACAACATATGTGAGGAAGGCTGAACTTGATGAACACAAGTCTCTTTTCAGCTATGTAACTATGTAACTATGTAACTAATGGTGAAACTACAATAATAACCGAACATCTTTAATTATTTGCAGCTTGTTGATGGCCGTGTATCCACTGACGTTAACATTGCATTTCTAAGAAGCAAAATTGGAATTGTCTCTCAGGAGCCAGTGCTATTTGAAGGTAGCATTTCTGACAACATAAAATATGGGGACAACTCTCGCACTATCTCAATGGAGGAAGTCATTGATGCTGCCAAGAAAGCTCACCTTCATGAGTTTGTCATGTCTCTGCCCGATGTAAGTCTAGAAAATATTCTTCTTCTTTACAGACCCAGCTTTTCATTACCAAGGTGTTAATAACATTTAAAAATTAGATACATAATTACATAAGTATATTGTCTAATTCAACACCTTTATGGCACAGTTGACACATGCAGACGTGAAAGCAGTCCATTCGCTCTGGACTGAAAATTGACAGGTAGACATGTGCAATTTGTTTCGGGCCGAATATGAATTCGGACGAATTTCGGGCAATTCGGACATTCGGGTACTTCATGCCAGGATTCAGCTGTAAGCATTTGCAACACTTACAACAATCAAGTAACATACATTCATATAAAATGTAAGTTACTTGGCCAGTCAATGTAATGACAGGAATGAATAAGTAGATAACTCCCTAATTCCCACGGTATTAGGGAGCTATCTACTAAAAGGCTGAAAGACCTAAATTGGTCTTTCAGCCAAATTTACTAATACTAAGTAAAGATTACTTAGTATTAGTAAATTATGCCCCTACTCGCTATACCGCGAGTAGGGGCATGTCTATTAAACAGTGAGCAGCCTATGGCTGACAGTGTTGGTAATTCTCAGAAATTTTTTGTTGATTTTTTTCCTTTTTTTTTTTTTTGTTGGAGGTCATCTCATTTACCCAACCAACGAAACTCAACAGCTGCTAGTTCTCAATAATTGTTGAAGGAACACTCCAAACACTGTAACAACCTTCATTATATAGGTCATGGTGCAAGAAGGCCCTCGGTTCCTAACTCCTTACATACAGTTACATTTTTAATTATTTCAATGCAAGATTCTATACTTCCTCATTTAATAATACCAATAATTGCTCACTGTATGCATGCTGCATTGATAGAAAAGTCATTACCTCCCTTGTTCCTCCCTTGTTATCACAAAATAGGCAAAACATTTTTTAAAAATTGCAATGAGTTTCAGTTTAGTTATTTGGCTTAAAATGTACAGTTACATAAATTCTCCACTATTACCCGTTTAGTTACTAGAACTTTTTTTTTTTTTAGCTAGAGTGATAATCATAATTATTTTAACTTTCAGACATTTGGTCTTACAACATCAATTAATAATAAACTACTGAACATTTCAATTTAAATGTGACTCATGGTTCAATGTTTCATATATTTTTCCTTAGAAATATGACACAAATGTTGGAATGCAAGGCTCCCAGCTCTCCCGAGGACAGAAACAACGAATTGCTATAGCTCGCGCAATTGTCAGAGATCCAAAGATACTGCTTCTGGATGAAGCAACGTCAGCTTTAGACACAGAAAGCGAAAAGGTTGTTATACAAAATTGCATCTTTATTTTTTAAAGATGAAATACCGATTGACAAGATCCAAATTTCAGATTGAATAATTAGCTATATGTAAAGAAGTGCTTGTTCAGGGAATATCTCTGTGATACAGATTGAGAAGATTTATCAACGTGTACTTTGATAAATCTCATCCATTATGTTCAGCCCCAGAGTCACTTTCTTTACAATCATATAATTGACATTATTGCACTTTACCTACAAATAAGGATTTGAATCACTAAAAACTGAATATTAGTTAAATTAAAAACAATCTGCAAAACATATGATAAAGCTGTGACTATAGCTGAGAGTGAATTTTTTTTCAAATCTATTATTTGCAACTATATTTTACGATTCTGTTTCATTGCAATTCAATGTTTAGTGTATATTATTACTATTGTAGTATCTTAATATGAATAGCCTTTATATGAAATATAATGTGCTGGGATATGTTACCTGTGCAATTACTGCTTTTATTGGTTGCAGCATGCATTACTGCAGTAAATGCAATTTAGAAAAAGTATGTAGGTTCAGGAAGGAAAACTTAAAGGAACACGCTGGTTACCAATCAACTTTAATGTATTTAATAAGTTTGACATCATTAATATGCAGGGTTTTGTTTTTTTTGCATTTTCAAATATTTATAGTTTTTGCACAAAAAATGTTTTGCAGAATGCTGTACTAAAGTTAATTCTCCTTAGCCACAGCTCCTCACCCCAGAAAAACGTATTTATAAAATGTAAGCTCACAGCTCAGTCCTAACACCATTGACTGAGCTGTTCTTAATTCACATAGTGGCTGCAGACAGTCAGCAAACCCACAGGCAAACAGGCAGTGATATTCTTACTATTTCACGCAGTGCTGTCAATAGCTGAGCCGTGTACATTAATTTGGTAAGGAAGTGTTTTTCAGTATGAGTGAGGGGCAGCTAAGGAGACAGGCTCAACATTTTAGCATGCAAAAATACAGCATATTACTGTGGCCAAAACCATGAGGCCAAATGCAGTAAAACAGTATTGGTGCTCTGAATGTCCCTTTAAGACTTTTGTTTGGAAAATCTAAGCTGTATTTTAATTAGTGTCTTGGTCATAAAAATTAACGGCAATAGAGCTAGAATTCAAAAGATGGTGAGTGACAAAGCTTTCATAGATAAAGGTAAATTTAATGTCAGAAATAAAATAAATATAGGTAATAACAGTCACATCCTTAATGCGCCTTTTTAAAGGAACGAACCTCAAATTGAACTATTTCTGTTGTGTTAATAATTAGTCTTTTGTTTCAAATTTTGACACCAGCTAGTTTATCAATACCCCAGGTGGGTGAGTGTGTACTGATCATATCTTCTCTCTCTCTTTTTTTTTTTAGACTGTTCAGGTGGCTTTGGATGAGGCCAGACAAGGGCGCACCTGTATTGCCATAGCTCACCGTCTATCCACCATTCAGAACTGTGACATAATAGCGGTGATGTCCCAAGGAGTCATCATTGAAAAGGGATCTCATAGTGAACTCATGGGTTTGAAAGGAGCCTATTATAAACTAGTAACCACTGGAGCCCCAATAAGTTAGATGTGGTCCACTTAATTTTATTATCATTTTTCACCAATAAATAACTATTAGTAAATTACAAATACACCAGTTTTACATACTTGGAATGAATTAGACCACAGTAACTATGGAACTTATTCAATTGTGTATTTTGGGCATTCCTAAACAAGGTCAGCCCCATTTATACCAAATACTAGAAACTGGTTACATTTGCAACATGACAACATGGGAGCCTATACATCTGTACTTGTAGACAATGATAATATAAATATAAAGTCAAGATATTCTGTGCAAGCAGATAACAGCTATACCTCTTTGATTGTGTGACTGAACACCAACAGGGTTCTTAATAAATTGTCAGAAATTTAAATTGAATTCAAAATCTATATTACATTTTAAAGAAACACTCTGAGCCTGCTGTAGTGGTTATGGTGCTAGGACTTGTATCTGCAATATCTTGCCTACAATGTTACATTTCAGTATAGATTTTAAACTACTAGCACAGTCGATCTTAAAAAAAAAAAAAAAAAACTATCCTGCAAATTGCATGTTTGTATATTGACAATTATTTATTGCATGTTTTAGTTTAAAAGTTTTTATCTTAATTTTTGTGTCTGTCATATCTATTTTTGTTTTTAATAGCCAGTGTTTAATCACCATTAAGAAACAGAATTATAATGATGTTATAAACACAGTTCAGCACTTCTCTTGTTAATGTGTATTGTGTATAGCATATCAGCTCATACTCATTTTCCTTTTTCAAATGTGGGTTAAAGTATTGGTAATGTGTCAGTAATAAACAATAAAAATGTATTTTTTTTAATAAATGCAGCAACTGCACACAGTGTCCCATACCTTCTTTTAGTTGATATACTGTACTTTAATATTAAAGGGACACTATAGTCACCTGGACAACTTCAGCTTAATGAGGTTGTTCAGGTGAGAACTATAGCTCCCTGCAGCCTTTCTCATGTAAACACTGTATTTTCTGAGAAAATACAGTGTTTACATTGAAAGCTAGAAACACCTCCAGTTGCAGTCACTCAGAATGCCACCAGAGGGACTTCCGAGTTGATTGAGGCATAAAACTCCTCAATCCACTCAGATCTGCTGTCAGCAGAGCACAGGGCAGCATGCAGACACTCCCACTGCATGCAGACACTGAACTTTCCTCATAGAGATTCATTGATTCAATGCATCTCTATGAAAAGATGCTGATTGGCCAGGGCTGTGTTTGAATCGTGCTGGCTCTGCCCCTGATCTGCCTCCTTGTCAGTCTCAGCCAATCCTATGGGGAAGCACTGTGACTGGATCAGGCTACGACTTCTGATGATGTCAGCAGACTGTTTTTTCTTTTTAGGCAAACAGCATGCAGATCTACAGCTTCTGGCTTGAATACAGGAAGAGTTTTACTATATTTATGGAGGCATGAGGGGCCCAGGGGGGCTAGATGGTCGTGTTAACACTATAGGGTCAGGGATACATATAGTTACACTGGTGACTATAGTGTCCCTTTAAAAGTGAGCTGTCACTTTCATGATTTACACAATTGAATGACACATTTAACATAACTTATAACTTTATATTAATGATATAGCAAATTCCATCATAATAAGGTTCAGACAAGGCAAGAGCAAACAGGGCAAATGAATAGGAGGAATAGAAACATTGTTTCATATGTCCTGCTCTCTGAATTCTTCATCAATGCTGGCTCCCAGGTGCAAAGGACAGAGCTTATAATGATTGACAGGGAGGTAGGATGGAGGCACACTGTACCTTGATAAAATGGTGTAGATTTTTTGAATTTATTTTAATTTTCACACCATCACAAACACATTAAACAAATCACTTTATATTTAATTAGAATAAAACTTAAATAACATTTGTAATGGATTGTTTAGCATTACTGCTGAGACTTTAAATATTTAAAATAAAATGTTTAAAGAAATGTCCAATTAGTAGATGTACAGTCTACACAGATGTGCATGTACATATAGTAAAATAGGAACATCAGTCAATATATACATACAAATATGCAAGCTACACAAAGATACATATGGAAACATGTTATATTCACAAACAATTATGAATTAAAAATGGACATGGCCTGAAGTAATTTCTCAGTGCTTAAAGTGGAGCTTTTGCCTAGTAAATGATTGCCTCAGTAGAGGTAGCCATCTTGTCTTCGATTTCATAATTATATAACACTATTTGGGGTGAGGTAGCTGGCAAAAGGGAGGCAGTTGCCCCTGGGACTGCTAGCATAGAGAGGATAGTAGGTGGCTTTCTGTAACTGCAATAACAAACTATATTGTGTAACAGCATTCTTTTATTATTAGTGTAATCCAGTTCTTGCAAGATTAATATATAACAGGTGATATAAAATTGAGCTCCCCTTAGGCCTCTCCTGTCTCTAGTAGTTGACAAACATACATTTACTAAAAAGGTAAAATCAAAATCAAGTGAGAAGCGATCAACTCATACAAGTCTACATTAGTTAATTTTTAGTAAACTTATAAGGCAGCAGTGGCTAATACGTAGGTCTCCAGCGTGTGGGAAGCTGCATCTCCCATGATGCTTTGCCACAGAATATCAATATTTCACAGAACGTCAAAACATCTTAAGAGATTTAGTTCCAAAATAAGGTGCTATTCTGAGGCAAAGTGCTAAGGTCCAATCACTGTGGAAACTAACAAAATGTCTATCTACATTTATGACTTTTCACTAAAATGTCACCTGTTGTGCCATGATACATTTCCTGCAAAGCAGTAGCTGTCACAGCAAGAGTGCATAATTTATTATTGCACTATGGAATATTGTCCTTTAATTTAATTTGTATAGGGCATTAAGGACCTGCCGGCCTGGCAGAGATGGTATTGTCAAGGTCAAAAAGGGTTACTTCTTTTGAAGCTGGGACCCCCCTCCAAGGTCAGATGACAGAAGGGGTACTTTGAATTACATAGGGATGTGAAAAGGATTTTACCATATGGATGTGAATTAATCAAGGCTCTACAAGGTGTGAGGTTCTACACTTGGTGAGTGATGAGTCAATCTCTTTGGATATGTTAATAGCCATTAGCCTTGTTCCAGTATCATATCCAAAGGAAGGACAAAACATTAATATTTACCCCACAGCATAATAATTAAGCCTTATTTTTGTTATATTTGGAATGTGACAAGCTCCATCTTCTAAACAAGCACAAACATGAGTGGCATGGCTTGACCATGTGGGAGGGAATTGTAATGTCTGCCAGGCTGGGTCGCGGGTGGGGCATGTGACATGTCTAGGGGATGGGAAACTAATAACAAATTATGCAATTATTATTTCTGTGGCAGGTACATAAGAGAAGATAGAGCCAAATGTTTCCATTTGGATTGATGTTGGTCTGGAACAAAGGAGGTGGTTACTTATTGTAACGGACCGTTTTGCACACAAGAGGTAAAAACCGTTTAGGCGATCTGCCCCCTTTCCAGAGATCCAGGCACAGCTACTGCAGAACAACAAAACTCACGAACTGGATACAAAATAGCACTCCAACTCCCGAACTGGAACCTCCCAAATAGCTGCTAGCAGACGAACAGGAAAAGCAGACGAACAGCTTACACTCCTGGCAATCAGTCTCTAACAGCATACAGTGAATCCCCCCAAGAACGAGACAAGGCTCCGTGTTGAGGGTCAAGCAGTGGTCTGAGGTGCTGGCACACCCAGCCTGGTTTTTATTACAGTGTTTCAAATACAGGACCACCCACAGGGAGGGATAAAACAACCAATCATATCACAGTTACATCCCACATATTCCCTCCCCTTATCCTGAGAGGAAACTCAATTATACAAACAGTTAAAACATACTTTCTACCCAACTTTCATAACTCCAAAACCATACATCACATTCACATAAAATTACATATCACAATCAATCCATTCAGGGGAACAACATATTCAAAAATGGCACAAATCAGACAAGGGGTTCAAAAGTTAGTAAAAAGTCCTTTGTGACTAAATGAAGCATGGCTTTCTGGCCCAAACCAGTTTCAGAGTCTTCTATCCTGGAGATAAGTAATTCAATTATCTCCCAGGACAGACACAAGACTCCATTAAGCACATGGTTGCAAAAAGACACAAAACACTTTAAAATACATAAAGTCACATTTTACACATAACACACAGACATTTCACATATCCCCAGATAGCTCAGGTCTGAGCGCACATTATTAAGTGAATGGCGCTCGGACCACACAAATACAGTTTAATCGCCATGGAGCCAAAGTCTTTACAGTCAGTTTCATACGAATGGGCTCCATGGGATTCCTATCTGGGGTATAACACATTCAAACAAATCTACTGAACCCCAGGCAGAAAAGCACGAATACAGCTTTTCTGCAGGCAAAAACAAAGTCTTTTAAAAGGGGGCCATAGTCCAAAGGCAGCAGGTGAGCAACCAGGCTTCTCCAATGCAATGTGGCGAGATTGGTCTCGTCACATCTCTCCCCTTTTCCAAACAGACTAACAGGGTATCTGACCTCCTGCCGGTCAGTGCCCTTGTTAGTCCAGCAGCCCACCCACAACAAATAAACCACAGCACAGCCCACCCACAATAAATGGTTACTACACCTGGGTAGAGAAGAAGCTTGTCCATGTCCAGGTGCCTCACCACGGCTGTGCTGGGTACGGGTACGCTGACTTGGTGGGTTGCTGCGTGGGCAGAGACCAGCGGCACTCTGCCCTGTTGCCAGCGCTACTGGGAGGGTAGCCTGGTGGAAGCCTGGTTGTTGGAGGGGGAGACCGACTGTCTCCCCTTTAAATACACCGCTCTGCTGCTGCTGCTGGAGACTGACTGTCTCCCCTTTAGATGCACAGTCCTGCTGCTGGAGACCGACCGTCTCCCCTTTAGCTGCACAGTCCTGCTGCTGGAGACCGACCGTCTCCCCTTTGGTTACCCATCTCTGCTGCTGGAGGGGGAGACCGACTGTCTCCCCTTTGGCTAGACAGCCCTGTCGCTGGGGAGAGGGGGTAACAAGCTCCTCTCCCATACATACTTCTAGCTGTGGGGGAGGGAGACCGACTGTCTCTGCTCCCAATACAGAGTCCTGCTGCTGGGGAAAGGGGACTGGGCTCTCTATTCCCGGTAGGACACTCTGCCGCTGGGGAATGGAGACGGGGCTCCCAATTCCCAATAATCTGTGCTGCCGCTGGGGATGGAGACTGGGCTCCCAATTCCCAAAGCATCATTCTGCCGCTGGGGAATGGAGACTGGGCTCCCAATTCCCAAAAAATCACGCTGCCGCTGGGGAGGGAGGACACTGCTCTCCTCTCCCTGGACTTCCCACTGCCTTCCCGGCATATCACTTGGCTGCTGGGGGGCAGGAACAACTACCTCTGCCCCCTGTATCTCAGCCTGCCGCTGGGGAGGGAGGACGCTGTTCTCCTCTCCCTGCACTTTACACTGCCTTCCCGGCATATCACTCTGCTGCTGGGGGGCAGGAACAACTACCTCTGCCCCCTGTAACTCAGCCTGCCGCTGGGGAATGGAGCTCAGGCTCCCAATTCCCTGCAATATCTCCCGCTGGGGAATGGAGCTCGGGCTCCCAATTCCCTGCAATTTCTCCCGCTGGGGAATGGAGCTCGGGCTCCCAATTCCCTGCAATTCATTCTGCTGCTGGGGGACAGGAGCGACTATCTCTGTCTCCCTGCTAACTCAGCCTGCCGCTGGGGAATGGAGACTGGGCTCCCAATTCCCTGCAGGACCGGTGGAGAGACCTCGGTCCCATCTCTACCGGCCACCTGGGGTTCTTCCCAGTAAAACTGTACCATCTCGTCCCCTCTGAATGGGTCTGGCTCTGGGTCTGTCATGCTGCTCTCCTGCTGAGCCTTCTCGCTGTATTGAAACAGTTGCTGGTAGCCCTGTTCTAGCTCCATCTCCCGGGTTACCAGGTGGACCAGGTCTTGCTCAATTTTGTGAGCGTCGACCCAGTCATACCTGCTCTCCCTCCACTCCCAGAGATCACTGAACCGGGCTTGTGTAGGGCTCCCAAATTCGAGCTCTGAAAACGACTCCCATAACAAGCCAGGACCATCAAACTCCTCTCCCTCTGGCTTGTCATGCTCGGCTGTCCAGGGTAGGTACTGTGCCCCATACCACCAGAGCGCCTGGTAGGCATCTTCTAGCCACAACTCCTGCCATACTAGGTGTTCCAATTTCCTCACCCATTCCTCCAGGGGCTGCTCTCCCAGGAAGGGCATCCGCAGGGCTACTCGCTTCTGCAACCGCTGGTCTTCCTTGGGGAGTCTCTTGCCCCGCTGGTACTCCACAATACCCAGTGCCTGGTACCAGATGCCTTTACGGACTGCATCTCGGTCATCCATGGCACCCTCGTCATACTCCACTGCTGGTTCCATGCTGGTGCTGTCAGGGTCGCTGTACTGGGACATGCGTTGCCCTCAAATTGTAAAATCCAAAGAAAGGTGTTGCCTGTAGCTGTCCTGTAGTCTGTGGGAACGATCCCGCCGCTTGCCACCAATTGTAACGGACCGTTTTGCACACAAGAGGTAAAAAACCGTTTAGGCGATCTGCCCCCTTTCCAGAGATCCAGGCACAGCTACTGCAGAACAACAAAACTCACGAACTGGATACAAAATAGCACTCCAACTCCCGAACTGGAACCTCCCAAATAGCTGCTAGCAGACGAACAGGAAAAGCAGACGAACAGCTTACACTCCTGGCAATCAGTCTCTAACAGCATACAGTGAATCCCCCCAAGAACGAGACAAGGCTCCGTGTTGAGGGTCAAGCAGTGGTCTGAGGTGCTGGCACACCCAGCCTGGTTTTTATTACAGTGTTTCAAATACAGGACCACCCACAGGGAGGGATAAAACAACCAATCATATCACAGTTACATCCCACATATTCCCTCCCCTTATCCTGAGAGGAAACTCAATTATACAAACAGTTAAAACATACTTTCTACCCAACTTTCATAACTCCAAAACCATACATCACATTCACATAAAATTACATATGCACAATCAATCCATTCAGGGGAACAACATATTCAAAAATGGCACAAATCAGACAAGGGGTTCAAAAGTTAGTAAAAAGTCCTTTGTGACTAAATGAAGCATGGCTTTCTGGCCCAAACCAGTTTCAGAGTCTTCTATCCTGGAGATAAGTAATTCAATTATCTCCCAGGACAGACACAAGACTCCATTAAGCACATGGTTGCAAAAAGACACAAAACACTTTAAAATACATAAAGTCACATTTTACACATAACACACAGACATTTCACATATCCCCAGATAGCTCAGGTCTGAGCGCACATTATTAAGTGAATGGCGCTCGGACCGCACAAATACAGTTTAATCGCCATGGAGCCAAAGTCTTTACAGTCAGTTTCATACGAATGGGCTCCATGGGATTCCTATCTGGGGTATAACACATTCAAACAAATCTACCGAACCCCAGGCAGAAAAGCACGAATACAGCTTTTCTGCAGGCAAAAACAAAGTCTTTTAAAAGGGGGCCATAGTCCAAAGGCAGCAGGCGAGCAACCAGGCTTCTCCAATGCAATGTGGCGAGATTGGTCTCGTCACACTTATTATTTCTATAGGTACGCATTAACTCCACCCCTGGGCAAGACTTGATAATCTACAGGGTATATATCCAATGATTTGGATGGGTGTTGGTGTACTTCCTTGGGGCCAAGATCTTATTTTGAATAAAATAAAAGAGGTCCAGGCACTCTTTGGTTCAAGACAGGCACTTTATTGGAACCACAGCAACTTTTCTGTTGCTGTGGTTCCAATAAAGTGCCTGTCTTGAACCAAGGAGTGCCTGGACCCCTTTTATTTTATTCAATTGATCTTGATAATCTGGTGTTTGATTCTGGTACAATAAGCACCCTGGCTCTGACTGATGGGAGTGAGTGCAGTTCCATACACTTTTTCAAAAGATCTAATTTTGAGTGAGTCACTTGAGTGAGTCAGAGAACCCCTGGGCAGAAGTTTTATAAACCTGTACATTGTAGAAACTATATTCCGTTAAAATTCTCTCTCATTTCTTTACAACAGATTATTTATTTATATTGATTCATTAAAGTATTAGTAAAACGCTAGGGCAATTCTGCAGCAAAATTCTAAATGCTGAAATACAATTTGTGGGTTTTCATAGTGAAATATTTTTTGTCTGTAAATACAACCCAAATCATTATGGTGGAAGGTTTAGTTTTGCCTATGGTTTGTTTGCGGCATACTGTAGTCAAAGGTTTTGACAGCCAAGGAGCTGTGCATAAGTTTACATGGATGAAAACAGAGTTAGGTGTCCCCCATTTTTGAGCTCTTGCCTATCTCATGAACAATCTATCTATATACACAGTGAATGCTTATGACAAGACGATTGTGTGAGATCATATACTGCACATTTGCATAGCAAGAAGACCTTGTTAAAGGGACTCTGTAGGCAGAGTGACTGCTCCATCTCAATCAAGTAGTTATAATGTTCTGAGTCCCCTTGTGCTATCCTTCCATTCATTGTTAAACCATTGTTATTGATTTAATGCTATACCAAATACCTCCTGTGATATATGGGTTAATGAGGAAGCATTAACCAAAGCAGCAAAGGGTAGCTGTAATTGACTGAGAGTGTCAACTGACAATTTTCAACCTATCACAATATGAAAATGGCTAGAAGGAAGTTTATAATCTCTGTCTTAGGCACAACTCCAGTAGAGGCGGGGCTCTATGAAGTAAGGGTTCCTCATTCAGGATTGAACTGCTTGGAAATGGTTTAACATTGCATGAAGGGTCAGTGCCAAGGGACACCGTAGGCACTATAACCAATTCAATGTGACGAAAATGATATAGTGCCTACGGTGTCCCTTAAATTGTGAGAACCTAAAAACTTTCATCCACATAAATGTGCACATTTCTCATTACCCAGCACTCTGTAAGATCATTTAAATGCTAAATTTTTTAATGTATGCAGTAATAATGAACAGTGTGGTATTATGCAACAGAAATGTACCTTGTATTGTAATAAAAATCTGTCAGCCCAAATGATGCAATAATGCTGGAGTGATCTCTTAATTCAATCACTCTTAAGAAATGCACTTTATAAAGTTGAAGTTTAAAGAGAAAGGGAATCTTCTGATCAAAAGAGGAGCACCAAAATGGTAAATTTCAACAGAAATAAATAACTTAATAATTAAACATCAATTTCACCAAGAGAGGATTTCCTGTCAAACAGATTAAAAAATGTGATAATACACCGTCAATAGATGAGTGGTAATAGCAGGGCTTAAAATATACAATCACCACTAGCCATTGGCAAGTTAAAATTCTGCTCTGGTAGAAATTCAACTCTAACATATGTGTTTTGGTCCCTCCAGACTTGCAGAGGCTAGTAACTTTTAAACCCTGTTTAGTAATGTAATGGTTAGAAATGCAGACCTTGTCAATTTAAACTCTGTTGATGGTATGAATATTTGGTGCACTTTTTATTTTATTTCAAAAATTTAGATCCATTTATATTTGAGAGGCAGAAAAAAAAAACAATTTAAGTCTTATAATTAGTAACTGGTATTGTAACTTTGTTTTTCAAAATAACATAGTCTTGAATGAAAGTTGGCATATAAGACAATGGTATCCAGAGGAATGTAGCATCTGTGCCTATAGTGTATCGAGTCCTTGGATGTAGGCTTGTCAGGGCATGTTCCATACACCATACAACCAGGGAAAGATCACTGTTTTTTATGCGCTTGTTAAGTACTTCCTTCTTCTTTGCATCTATTAATCAAAATCACATGGAGATATTGAATGCAATTATTTAAGGTAGCACAAACTAAAGCTTTGATTTAATATTGCAGGATACACTTTTCAAATGATTTAATATTTTTGAATAAAACTTTAAAATGATTTAATATTATGAAAAATATTAAAATTTTGGAATATTTTGATAATATATTTTTTATGTATGATATATTTTTTGACAATTTAATATTTTGAAAAAAAACCAGTTTTTAAAGTGTATCTAGAAATATTAAATAATTTGCAAATCTTATCCAACAATATTAAATTGAGGACTAAGTAGGTATCAACAGAAACGCTTCATGTAACATGCAGTTAGTGTACATTGGTATAAATATAAGATAGCATGATAAGATCTCCTCAAAGAGAGATACATTCTCTTATGCTAAAAATTACATATTTATCTACTTTTACATAAAATTCATAATTTTTTTGAAGACTTATATACCACAAATATCTAAGTATTCTAAAATTTACAACAATTTAATCAGATGACAAACACTCTCTCATTTCAAATGTCTCTGTAGAGGTACTTAAGAATGTATTTAATTTAGCTGGCCATTTTCAAGTACTTATGACATTTATGCACACATTTGTTTTGTGTAGTTAAGTAATAAATTCAGTATAAATCAAAAATATATACTTTTGAATTATTATTAATAGCATTTAAATAGCTCCAGCATATTCTGCAGCAATTTAAAATTATAACAAGGCCCTAATGAAACAAGCTTACAAGCTATGAAGACTTGAGGAAGGCAGATAGGTGTCTTGCTCAAGGAGACTTTTTGGTGAGGTGGCCTGACTGGGATCCAAACTTGAGTTTCGTAGTTGAAGCTGTGATGTTACCACAATTGTGTTTGTTGGAAGAATTATTCACTAAAGCACACCTGTCTGGAATCTGAAGTAAATTCAAAATGAGTTCAAAGTTTTTGGCCAAAAAAAAGCTTATTTGAAAACAAAGCTGAAATGTCTAACTGTAAATCCATTCTTTTGTCCAAAATGTGAAATTAAGTTTGAATGTACTTTGGATTCCTCAATAATGGCAGTTCACACTTAAGTGACAACCCCTGTGTATGTTTTCATTTTTACTTGATTGAGCATTATGGAAAGTGTAGTTTTCCCAATTTTAGCAGTGCCAACATTAGTCATCTTTTGCACTGTAGCAAGGCCGTGTTTATACTCTAACTAAACCTGGGAACAGCAGAACGTAAACCTCAGTAACAAGAAAACGTATGCTAAATAGGCATGTGCACGGGAAAAATTTTCGTTTTGGTTAGGCATTCCAAAATTCGGGACTTTGGCAATTCGTCACTTCGTCAATTCGGCACTTCGCCTATTCGGCACTTCGACGCTTCGGAACTTTGGCAACTTCGGCACTTCAGTACCTCGACACTTCGGAACGTTGGCACTTCGACACTTCGGAAATTCGCTAATTTCAGAACTTCAGGACCTTGGCAAATCGTCACTTTGGCAATTCGCCACTTCAACACTTCACCACTTCGGAACTTTGGCAACTTCGGCACTTCGGCACTTCGGCACTTCGACACTTTGGCACTTCGGGAATTTCGGAACGTCTCTTGCAGCCGCTTGGTAGATAACTCCCTAATTCCCACGGTATTAGGGACCTATCTACCAAAAGGCTGAAAGACCTAAATTGGTTTTTCAGTGAAATTTACTAATACTAAGTAAAAATTACTGAGTATTAGTAAATTGTGCCCCTACTCGCTATATGGCGAGTAGGGGCATGTCTATTAAACAGTGAGCATCCAGTGGCCCCAAGGCCCCACCCCTGAGCGGCAGGTGGGGGCCCTAAAGTAAAATAATGGGGGGGACCTATTGACCCCCCGGCCCCCACCACTGAGTGGCGGGTGGGGGCCCTAAAGTAAAATAATGGGGGGGACCTATTGTCCTCCCGCGGTCCCCACCCCTGAGCGGTGGGTGGGAGCCCTAAAGTAAAATAATGGGGGGAACTATTGTCCTTCCCCCGGCCCCCACCCCTGAGCAGCGGGTGGAGGTCCTAAATTAGAATGAGGGGGGACCTAATGTCCTACCCCCTGGCCCTCACCCTTGAGCAGTAGGTGGGGGCCCTAAATTAGAATGAGAGGGAGGGACCTAATGTCCTCCCCCCCGACCCCCACCCCTGAGCTATATGGCAAGTAGGGGCATGTCTATTAAACAGTGAGCAGCCAGTGGCCCCCGGCCCCCACCCCTGAGCGGCGGGTGGGGGCCCTAAAGTAAAATAATGGGAGGGAACTATTGTCCTTCCCCTGGCCCCCACCCCTGAGCAGTGGGTGGAGGCCCTAAATACTAATTAGGGGGGACCTAATGTCCTCCCCCCTGGCCACCACCCCTGAGCGGTGGGGGCCCTAAATTAGAATGAGGGGGAAGGACCTAACGTCCTCCCCCCCGGTCCCCACCCCTGAGCGGTGGGTGGGGGCCCTAAATACTAATTAGGGGGGACCTAATGTTATAAGGGGGACCTTATAAAGCCTTGCCCCGCCCTGCAATTAGGCTCAGAGCACTCTGATTGGTGGGTTTCCCACGCTGTGTAATTTGACTCATAACACTCTGATTGGTTACTTAATCCACCAATCAGAGTGTTATGAGTCCAACTACACAGCGTGGGAAAATTCCAAAGAACTTTCCCACGCTGTGTAAAATGACACAGAGCACTCTGATTGGTGGATTTCAAACCAACCAATCAGAGTGCTGTGACAGGTAAATGTAGAGACTTACCTGTCAGTCTCTTCATTTACCTGTCAGAGCACTCTGATTGGATGACTTAAACCCACCAATCAGAGTGCTCTGAGCCTAATTGCAGGGCGGAGCAAGGCTTTATAAGCCTTCCTCCGCCCTGCAGAGCTCAGTCTGCACGGAGCCCTCGCCGCGTGAAGATGGATTTTTTTTTTTTTTTTTTTAAAGTGCGTTGGTTATTATGGCTTTTTATTCGGCCTTTTTTGGGGCTGAAAAAATAAGATTTTAGAAGAAAGAAAACATCAAATGGTAAGTTTTATTTATTTTTTTCAGGGGTGGGGGCCAAGGGGGAGGACATTAGGTCCCCCCCTAATTAGTATTTTAGGGCCCCCACCCACCGCTCAGGGGTGGGGGCCAAGGGGGAGGACATTAGGTCCCCCCCAATAAGTATTTTTGGGCCCCCACCACCCGCTCAGGGGTGGGGGCCAGGTGGGAGGACATTAGGTCCCCCCATTACTTTACTTTAGGGCCCCCACCCGCCGTTCAGGGGTGGGGGCTGGGGTGGCAATAGTTCCTCCCTTCAGGTTAGGAGGGGGAGGGGGGACTTTTTTTTTTACATTGAGCAGCCATAGACTGCTCACTGTTTAATAGACATGCCCCTACTCGCGGTATAGTGATGAGTGGCATAATTTACTAATACTAAGTAATCTTTACTTAGTATTAGTAAATTTGGCTGAAAGACCAATTTAGGTCTTTCAGCCTTTTAGTAGATAGCTCCCTAATACCGTGGGGATTAGGGAGTTATCTACTTATTCATTCCTGTCATTACATGACTGGCTAAGTAACTTACATTTTATATGAATGTGTGTTACTTGATTATTGTAAGTGTTGCAAATGCTTACAGCTTAATCCTGGCTATGTTTGTATACTTTTTATTTAAAATTGTATACAGTGTAACATTCTTCTTCTTTCACTGGGTAAGTATATTAGTACTTATACTGTGCTTCAGAACTTCGGCAATTCGGCACTTCGGAACTTCGGCAACTTCGGCACTTCGACACTTCAGCAACTTTGGAACTTCGGCACTTCAGCACTACGGAACTTCGACACTTTGGAAATTCGTTAATTTCGGAACTTTGGGACCTCGGTAATTCGGCAATTATGCACTTCGGCTATTCGGATATTTGGAAGTACCCGAATGTCCAAATTGCCCGAAATTCGTCCAAATTGATATTCGGCCCAAAACAAATTGCCCATGTCTAATGCTAAATGTGTCTGTAGGTTCACTATTTAAAGTACTTACCTACTGCAATATAATTTTCTCCATACTGATCCTTAATATCCTGTTGAAGCTTGTGCCAAATTTGAATACGCTGATTTATAACGGTTTGTGGATCTGACAAAGGCGTTCTAAATAATCCAGGTGCAATACATGAGACCTTTACACCAAAGGCTTTCATGTCTCTCCTATGGAAAAAAAGAAAAAGTGCTATGATTAATCAATGGACACCCAAAAGGGCCTATTTTTTTTTTTTCTGACTTGGTATCTGTAGAAGACAAGTTGTTTTCTTAAGATAACAAGTCCGAATTTTTTAAAAAAATACATGGATCTTTGGGCTTCCATAAATAATTTAATATTACCTTATTAGTTTTTATCTGTAATGTAAAATGTATTAGGTTTTAAATGAAACCTAAAAAATGACCATTTGCCAATGTGAAGGCTGGCTTTATTGTAATGAAAATTCAGTGCTTAATACATATGTACTTTTGATACACTTTCTAACTTACATATTTTTCCCAACATTGTGATAAAATAATTGAGATCTCAAATAAAATTTCTTTGTGAAAATTAAAATATAAGATGTCTATTATTGAAATTTTATATTTTTCATTTTTATTATTTTTGTGCTTCTGAAGTTGTACAAAAAATTGAAAAGCACAATAAATATGTACATAGTTCTAGTATTAAAATTATGTAAAAAATTCTCATGTAACTTCATGGAAACTTTTGTCCAGTTTTGCTATAAATCTGTAAGGATATAAAGATCACAATCCCAAAAATGGCGCATGACAGAGTCATTAAAAGTATACACGACAAAGCCATTAAAACAGACCACATTAAGTCTCTTAATAATGGGAAAAAAAATAATAATATTTTTTACCATTTTGATCCACACCTCAGCTAACAAATGTGGCTTGTAAATGAAAAACACAGAAACAGGTACCTGTTAACAGAATCTCAGGAAATGGGAATGCTGATTCATATTTCTCTCAGACTTTGATGAGACAACCACGAATAGGTCTTTCCAGTTTCCTGATGTTCTATTAGTATGGGCCTGTTCCTCTGTTATGATGATGTAAAGATAACTTTTTGGACTCAGAATTAATAAAGTAAGTTAGGGTTTGAGTAATCGAGGAAGATTTATCAATGTGCTTCCTTCTTAAAAATTCTAGTATGAGGGCAATCACAATGGAAATTACAATAGTCCTTACTACTTTCATCATCAGCTGAATGTGATGAAGACACCATACTGGAGCAGGGTTGCTGTTTCACTCCTATACCAGTTTCAGAAAAAAAATGAATTATGTTGAAACGAAACAAAGACAGTATTCAAAATCACTTGCATTTTACTTACCTTAGGCTATCATTAAATCCCTCAACACCATATTTAGATGAAAAATAGCCACCACCGCTTGCTGCCACTCTGCCACCAACACTGGATATGTTAACTATACGACCTTTAGCTTTCTTAATCAGTGGAAGCAAAGCCAGTGTTACATGTATCAATCCTATTAAATTAACTTCAATTGGTTGTCTAATGTCTTCTAAGGTCAGCCAGTCCATTGGAGCAAGAGTACCCATAATTCCAGCATTGTTTACTAATCCCCAGAGTCCTAAATGATAATAAAAGAAAACATTAATAATTCAAGCCAATAAGTGAAATGCAAACAATATATAAATGTCAGATATTAAAATTTAACTAAGGGTCAAGTTACATTTTTGGAGTGCTATATTGATGAGTACACTTCCTTTGCACAGAAAACCCCCCAATATAATTTAGGAGAAAAACTGAATTTGAACAAAATATTCAGCAGGTACTCAAAATGAAGAAAACTAGGCCTTCTTTAAACTGCAACATTATTCCAATTATTACATTTTTTATTTTTCTAATATTAATAGTAACTTTACATAATTGGTTTAACCAATTCCCTTTGTAGAGCGAGTTACTTTTTATTGCTCCCTTAACTCCTGTAAGTCAGTTTATATTATTCTCCTGTCATCTGCTGTTGACAATGTTGTGCAACCCACATGTAGCGATCACATCTCTTTAGTAGGAAGCTATATATAACTTTGTTTCAGAATAACTAGTTTCAGTGTTAATCAAAACAAATTATAATAGTTATAATGTCGAATGTATCACAAGGCCTGGTTAGTAAATTATACTGTTGAGGATACTGATAATGTTTAGGAGATGGTTAAGGATTGTCAAGGTTTTTCCTTTAAGTGTGAATTGTTTGGAATTCAAAATTAATTTCGACTTTTAGGCTTTGTAGCCGAATTGAATGACATCTCACATTCAGCTTGGTTTTCACTTTGTCTAGTTTAGTTAACAATTCTTAAATTGGTGAGGTAGGAGGGTGATACTACATGGACTGGCAGAGGATCACGGAACATGTTAAGGTGCCTACATGGTAGTTAGAAAAAACATCTTCAGTCAGTTTTGTTTTCAATGTGGGTATTTTGGTCTTACACTTGATTACTTTGGATTTCCAGAAATTCTCACGTTAGTGAATAGTGATTGTGTTCTGGTTACGTGTTCACTCTAGCCTCTGATATTAGGTCAAAATAGCTGATCTGGAATAAGTCTCCAATTCAAATAAGCTTCCATTCCAGCTACTTTGGCCTTACATTTTAAATCCACTTGGAAATCCCTTTGCTTTCTTACTTTAGCGAATAACTCTGTTCATGTAGAATAGAGATTTGATTTGTTCCTCCACCACCAAGTGTGTGTACATGCATTGCCCAAGTATGTTTCATAAGCAGGAACCAGCAAGCCAACCCTTTTATCTGTTAAACCACATAATAAAACACTACAACCTACCTCTAACTTGTGTTAACCTTTTTTCATGAGATGTTCTGGTTTCTTTACATTTTTATGAAATATTTCACAAATTAATAATCCATTTCAGACAAGGCACAGCCATGGCTAACATTGCAAATGACAAGGAAACAATGTTTAATTTGTCTTATTCTCTGTATGCTTTCTCTATGTTGTTTGCCAACTCCCTGTCCAGTCCAGGCCCCCCAGGGCCGCTGGGTGACAACCATCATGGATGTCATGCCCTGATGGCGGCCCTGTGTGTCTGACATTTGTACTTGCATGCTTGTATTGGCAAGTGAAATATAGTGCACTCTATGGATGGTAAGCTAAACAGAGGCTTCATATTGTACTGGCTAAAAGGTTTGTCATTTAAAATAATGTCTTTCATATTTTTAGCTTACACTTGGATTACAGTTGTTATCATTTTTAGTTACATAGTATTCTAGGTTATTAAAAAAACTCCATCAGCTTTACCCTTTTACACATCTGTTTCTACTGATAATCCAGAAGAAGGTAAAATAAATCCAATTTGAAAAATGTTCTAATTCTAATACATACTGATTTCTTTTGTAAAACCATGAAAAAATATTTCCTGTATTCATAGTATTCTTCAGTTTCTTGCTGATGTGTTACAGGACAAAGCAACTATATGTGGCAAGCTGAATTGCATAGTTGCAGAAGCTCAAAAAAAGACATTCGTCCATCAAGTTCAGCTTTTCTCTCATTTGGTTTTAGTACCGTACAAAGAATCAACTTCCTCTTTGTACACAATTTTTACGTTGCAACAGGAAAGAAATGAAAACAAATTGTAACATAGAATTTAGTGGTTACGTGTTTTTACACAGATTATTTCCATACATTTTCCTGTGGTTAGTTTATTAGGAAACACAGAAGAAGCTGATCATTTAGCTTTTGGACTTGCACATGTGTTAATGAAATGGTGTTCATAGTATTCCAAAAAAATCTATACTTAAAAACATACTGTTACAAAATATTACAGTGTCAATACATAGAAAAACAAGGTGGCACTATAGCATTGTTTAACCCCTTAAGGACTGGACTGTTTTTGCGATGTTGTACATTTGCGACCAGGCATATTTTTACACTTTTGTGGTGTTTGTGTTTGGCTGTAATTTTCCGCTTTCTCATTTACTGTTCCCATACAAATTATATATTGTTTTTTTCAGGACAAAAGGGGCTTTCTTTACATACCATTATTTATATAATCTCATGTATTTTAATTTAAAAAAAATAAAAAAATATGATGAAAAATTGAAAAAAATACATGTTTTTTGACTTTTACTTGAAAAATCTTTTACTCATCTACAAAAGCGAATGAAAAAAACTGCTAAATAGATTCAAAATTTTGTCCTGAGTTTAAAAATACCTAGTGTTTACGTGCTTTTTTGCTTTTTTTTGCATGTTATAGGGCTATAGGTACAAGTAGGATATTGCGGTTTCAAAACATACATTTTTAAAATTTATCAATAGTGACATTGTAACACTATTATCTGTCATAAATCTCTGAATAACACCCCACATGTACATATTTTTTTTAAAGTAGACAACCCAGGGTATTCAATATGGGGTATGTCCAGTCTTTTTTAGTAGCCACTTAGTCGAAAACACTGGCCAAAGTAAGCATTCATATTTGTTTGTGTGTGAAAAAAGTAAAAAAACTAAATTGAACGCTAATTTTGGCCAGTGTTTGTGACCAAGTGGTTACTAAAAAAGACTGGACATACCCCATTTGCAATACCTTGGGTTGTCTTCTTTTGCAAATGGTATGCCATCATGGGGGTAATTCTCATTCCTGGGCTACCATACGCTCTCAAAGGCAACGTAACCAACCTGGCCATTTTCAATGTAAAAATATTTGACCCATATATTTGACCTTGTAACTTTCAAAAATGCTATAAAACCTGTACATGGGGGGTACTGTTTTACTCGGGAGACATCGCTGAACACAAATATTAGTGTTTAAAAACTGGAAAACGTATCACAACAATTATATCATCAGTAAAAGTGCTGTTTGTGTGTGAAAAATGCAAAAAAAGTAACTTTCACTGACAATATCATCGCTGTGATATGTTTTACTGTTTTGAATCACTAATATTTGTGTTCAGCGAAGTCTCCCGAGTAAAACAGTACCCCCCATGTACAGGTTTTAGGGTGTCGTAGAACGTTACAGGGTAAAATACAGTGCTAGCAAACTAAATTCTCTGGAATTTCGGCCTGGGTTGGCAGGCAGGTCCCTTAAATTGCAATCAATAAAATTACTGAATTATGTAAAAATATTACATAAATATGCACGTAGAATTTAAATATATATGCATATTTATATAGTTTAAGTCTACGTGTATATTTATATAATTATTTATGTAATTTTGTATATGGACATATGTATATTTCGTATTATTTTTATTTATTTATATATACATAGATATATATACAAATTCATTCTAAGTGTATTTTGATATAAATATATATATATTAATTTTAAAATACAGTTAGAATAAAATTTCATATAGATATATAATTTTTTTTTAATTTTTATTATTATTTTTAAAAAAATTATTTAATTTAAATTACTTATTATTTATATTTTATAATAATATATATATACAATATATATAGTTATTATATATATTATATATATACGTGTGTAATTTAATTATAAGTGTATTTTTATATTAATATAAGTACATATTAATATAAAAATACACTTAGTATGACATTATATATATGATATATAGACATATATTATATATATATAATATATGTCTATATATCATATATACACCTATATAATTATTATTTTTTTTTTATTAACATTAACTTTATTTAATTTTTTGATATATCACTAGCAGGGAGACTGCCTGTCAGTACAGGCAGTCCCCCTGCAGGCAGACACATGGACACCTATTGTGACCATGTGATCGCTGTGTTAAGCGATCACATGGCCACAGGGGTCCTAAATCAGTGTGGGGAGACTGTCTGGGCTGCAGGCAGTCTCCCCACAACCAGAGCCACGCTGATCGCCGCCGGGGAACGACGGCGATCAGGTAAGTAGCTCAGACCGTTAGGACGGTTCAGGACCATCATCGGTCGGCAAGCCAAAAATGCCGATGACGGTCCTGAACCGTCCTCGGTCGGGAAGGGGTTATTATACTGAATATAATTATGAGTACACTGCTGTATCCAGTTTAGCAATGATGAGGAGTACAGCAATGAGACCCAAGCTGTAGGCTTACGGGGTCTTGGGGTTAGGATTTGATGGAGATTGATATTCATGGCCTTTGCATCGAGAAAGAAAGTCCCCCTTAAGCCTAAATTCTAAGCCATCTTATCCTAATGCTAAGTACCTCCTAACCTTACTCATCCTCTAAGCATACCCATAACCATTGCCAGTTTTAGGGGAAAAATGAATTATGTTGATGAAACCATGCATCCTCCAAACACTACCCCAATTCACATGTCAAATTGAAATCTCTTTAGTTTAGAAAAACGTCGCCTGAGAGGGATATGATAACATTATACAAATATATTCGGGGCCAATACAAACCATTGTGTGGAAATCTGTGCACAAACCAGACTTTACATAGGACACAAGGTCATGCGTTTAGACTGGAAGAAAGAAGATTTCGACTAAGGCAAAGGAAATGTTTTTTTATTGTAAGAACAATAAGGATGTGGAATTTTCTGCCTGAAGAAGTAGTTTTATCAGAGTCCATACATATGTTCAAACAGCAACTAGATGCATAATTGCAGAAACAGAATATTCAAGGATATAATTATTCAATGTAGGGTAATAGCTGCTTGATCCAAGGATTAATCTGACTGCCATTCTGGGGTCAAGAAGGAATTTTTCTCCTAGTTTGTTGCAAAATTGCAACAAACAGTTTTTTCCTTCCTTTGGATCAAAAGCAAAAACGAATGTGAGGAAGGCTGAACTTGATGGATGCAAGTCTCTTTTCAGCTATGTAACTGTGTAACTGTGTAATGCCAACATCCTAAATCTAAACCCCAATCCTAAACCTATTTTGGTAGAATCGTTTCCAGTGGTGATATTTTCTTTAAAAATTCTGTGCTTATAAAACTACAATGTCATCCTATTAAATGGAGATATTTGAATTTTTGCCTATGGACACAGCTTGGAAGGGTCAAACAGGGAAAAGCCAGGGACACGTTTTATTAACATGTATTTCAAGCAAGCAAAAGCCAAGTGGGCTGCAAGCTTTTATATTGTAAAAAATGATCAATTAAAACATACAGTTTTCACTCCAAAATGCTCTTGACTATTTTATTAAAACTCCAGGGAAATGTCAAAGGGAAATCTGAAGGACCTACATTTGGCAACCTTTTATAAGTGCAAATGTTTGCTATTAAAAAAAAAAGATACAATCAAAAAAGAAAGTGTGTAGGTGTAACCTGTGTATTGTTGACTATGTCAACTAGACTGCAAAGCTCACAATTAATGTAGCATGTATTGTGTCTATTTTGCTTGGTTGATACTTTGAGAAGTAATTAAAAATCTTGTTAAAGATAAATAAGTCCTTAAAATGTAGCCCACACAACAAAGCTGAATATATTCTGATTTAATCCTGTAAAAATAAGAAAACCTGTTACTAAAACTGTTCTGTATTAAAATGTTAAGAGTATTAATGGAAAAAAGAGAATGGAACAAAAAATGAAACTTTTGAAAAAGAGTTTTAAAAAATAGCAGATACAATAAGTTCTTTATGTCTTTTGTATGTGGGGGATGTTGCATGCAGAACAATAGTGCCTTCATGCGGAAATAATACAAACAGTGCAGTAACCATGGAAACCAATTGTATCCATGGTGATTGCTAAATCTTTAGAACTTTGTCCCACAAGTGTTTTTATAACGTATTCCGTGCTACAGTGTGTCAAGAAGATTCATTCAACACTTTAAAATTAATTTCTCCTGTGATGTATTACTTTACTTTCACTTTTCAAAAGGATTCTCTAAGCATAATGTATTTTTGAATTAGAAGAAGAAACTTGAAGGACACGGATAAGATGATAAATCTATGCCAACATTTCCTACCCCTTCTTTTCCATTTGGACTTTGATAAACTACCATTGCAAATAGGGTGACCAGAACTTATCTGTCAGTACAATGGACTTACCACTGCTGCCAACTATTTCATCCACCCATTCAGAGACGCGTTTTACATTTTCTGGAACAGTGACATCCAGCTGTATTGTTTTTAGTCGATCTGAAGTTTCGGCGTTAAGTTTAGCTGCTCCCTCTTCCGTATAACATGTTGCGAGAACTCTTAACCCTTTCCGATCAAATGTCCGTGCTGCATGGTTTCCAAATCCTGTGTCACAGCCAGTGATCAATATATATTTGTCATCAATATTATGGATTCTGAATCCATCCCTTATTTTCCACCAAATGTAGAAAGGAATTACACAACACAGAATATACACAAAAATCATAGTTGGTGTTCTAGTTCCTGAAGAATAAACAGAAATAATAGATTAGTCAGATGATGACATTGGAAATTTTAATATGGACATATAAATATCAACCCCGAATTGGTTGAAAATCAAGAACATCTACAACATATTGTATATACACAAAGCAAATGACAAAATTATTTAGAGCCTTGGATGAGAAATGTGGAATATTATAAGAGCGAAGAGTAAAATGTTTAACAGATAAAGCAAATGAAGTACAAATAGATTATTTTAGATTTGTATTACTAAAATTATTTAGGCTGGTATTTTGTCTAGATTTCAGTAGAGCTCATGGCCACCGGAAGGCACTAATAATAAATACTCAACGGTTTAAAGATTTTCTATGCCCTTGCTAATAATGGTCTGTTTTTTTTCTAAAACCATTTTCACTCTTTAAAAATACCCAGGACATACTTGAAAACGAGAGAAATCTCAATGTATCTTTCCTGGTAAAATATTTTATAAATAATAAAATAATAATAATAGTTTTACTTAACTATTTAGACTACATTAGAAAATAATTTTAGGGTTCCACCTTTACTCTGATTTCCACCTTTATTATTATTATTATTATTTATATAGTGCTCTATAGACAGTCACATTAGTTGGGCCCTTAGGAGGACAACATTTCTTGTCCTCCCGTGTTGAACCCTGCAGAAATACAAAGACAGTCTGGGCCCCATACATTTAAAATAATTATTCTGGCAACTTATAATGTGGTATTTGAATAACATTTGAGGACTATTTCTATTTATAGAGAACTTCACTTCTCGGGAGGAACAGGTCATTATTCTCTAGTCTTGTAAGTAGTGGAGCAGAACGACAGTCTGACATACAATGTAATTTAACAAATACAAAATGTTCAGAAATTTTGGTTCTATAGCTACATTTTAGTCACGGTTTAACCTTGATTTTTACCTTTAAGAATGCTAAAATCCATTTTGATTTAATTAACCCCTTAATGACATACGTTCTGGAATAAAAGGGAATCGTGACGGAATATTTCCATCATGTGTCCTTAAGGGGTTAACATCACTTTTACTACTGTATGACAGCTAATCGGGTAAAGATTTATGAAGACCTTATTAAACTCATGACAACAGAATTGTCTTAGCTTAAGGGAGCCGGCCTTTCCCCATGCTACCTACTTTGTTCAATTTTGTGTACTACTGTAGATGATTTACAGATATTGAACTGACATTTTACTGTCTTGCTCTTTATGAACAAAGTAAACATTTCATTACGTTTTGTAAAAAAATATGCTATCCAGTTACATATTATGGATCGGATCAATGTAGAGGCTTTTAGATTTATTAATTAACTGCACTAAACTTTGGCTTGGATAGTTATGATAAAATAAAAAAAATAGGAGGTCTGGGAAAATTTAATTTCATGTGTGAAGGTAGTTGGGATAGTGTAGGAAGAAACCCCTTTTACTTATAACAACTTACCCAGAATAACTTGACGCAAGATGTAAATGGTGACAAACAGGCCACAGCTTTATTTAAAACAATACCATTATTAACATAACACATTACCATGACATTCATTAACTGCAACTTCCATTACCAGATCCTTGCCAACCAATTTAACATAACCTGGGTGCTTGCTTCTCCCCTCGTCCATACACCACAATTGACCTTCCAACTGGCCTTTCAATACCATCCATGCTAACCACTGGCTTTTGCTCAGTGGGCATGTCCTTCATCATAACTTAATCCCAAGATCAGCCCTCAACCATTTCCACTGGACCGCTGGTCCAACCCTGACAGGCAAGGACCTTCATCCGCCACAAGCCCCTGCTGTTTTACCCCTGTTTTAGCCAAGGGGCCATCGCGGCGATGTCCACCGGCGTCTTTGCCCTTAGACCCCCACGATATCACCCTTGTCCCCCAATTTTCCGCGCTTGAAGCACCTGGCCGCAGAGTGCCTGAATACACACCGAGCACTTGTCCTTGAATTTACAGCTCGTCTCCCCCATATGCACTGGCTGTCATTATATAGCCAACAGCATCCGAGGCAGTGAGGAGCGGGCGCCACAGGACAGGATCCCCCTTTCAATTCTTTCTTTTTTTTTTTCTTTTTTTTTTTTATATGTTCGATTGAGTTTGATATCTACAGGAGTTTTTATTTATCAGAGAAACTGCTATGTTTACATATGCGTTAATCCAGCTTCTAGTGGCTGCCTCATTGACAGCCGCTAGAGGCACTTCCGCGCTTCTCACTGTGATTTTCACATTGAGAAGAAGCCAGCGTCTATAGGAAAGCATTGAGAAATGCTTTCCTATGAACTGACTGAATGCGCGCGCGGCTCTTGCCGCGCATGCGCATTCAGCGGATGACGGAAGAGGGAGGAGAGTCCCCAGCGCCGAGGGAGCCCGGCGTTGGAGAAAGGTAAGAATTTAACCCCTTCCTCCCCCTTCAGCCCGACGGGAGGGGGACACGAGTTTGTTTTCCTGGCACTATAGTGGTCCTTTAACTATTTTTGATATATGGCAGTATTGCAATATTTTGTGTGTTCCGACTATTGCTAGATTTAGTATGGGGCTTTAAAGGGAAACTATAGTGTTAGGAATACAAAATTGTATTCATAGCATTAGAGTACCCTATAGTGCCCTACTTGCCCACACGCCCCCTTTCGCAGCACAGAAAGTTAAAAAAAATTGTCATTCCGCTCCTCCTCCCCCAACGTGAGCCGCCGTCGGGAACCTTACATGCATGTGCGCTGAGCGCAGTTCTTTCCTATGGGGTTTTAGCTTATAATGAATGTCTCATGCAGAGTGCAGAATGTCACCTAACGACATTGAAGTGCCTCTGCTAGACAGCCACTAGAGGTGGAGTTAACCTTGTAAGGTAATTATTGTAGTTTATCAATAACTGCAATAAGAAAAATTACAGGTTTAAACTGACAGGAACACTGCACCCAGACCACTTCAATGAGTGTCCCTTTTATTATTTTTTAGTTCCACCATTATATTTAATATATATCTCAATACAAGCATATTCTATTAACTCCTTGAATCCCAAAGATATTCAGGCATTGCAAAGCAGTGTCTGTGGTAGATTCAAGGCATTCAAGGAGTTGAATGCATAATCTCTAACATTTTGTAACATACCTTTACAATCCTATATTGTAACTGGTATTTCTTTAAATTACATACTGGGCAAAAAAAAAGCCTTCCATATAATCTATAATACAAAACTACTGCCAAGCATTTCTGAACCACACATATACAAAATAATTGGAATGTTACAATCAAATACTCGGGAGAAAACCTATAACAGTAAAATTCACAGGGGAGTTGGAAGCTATATACCTGAATTCAATAGATTGTTTTTTATGATCACTTTGTTTAAAGGTGTAAAGCAAATATTAAGCTAGATCAAGCAACTTTATGACAGCCATTTACCTGTTGAAAGTCTACAACTATTAAACAGAGTATCAAAGTGTGCTTAGAATTAAGCCACAAAAACAAGGCTGCTGGATCGACATTAATTACTATGTAAATAGAGTTAGACTTTAAATGATCACACTTATTAATTCATTATAGTTTTGTGGATATATAGACAGACAGACATGTAGGCAATCAGGCTGACACAGACAGAAATACAGACAGGCAGGTAGAGATATTCTTCAAATGATCACACGTATTAATTTGCTATAGTTTTGTGGATAGATAGACAGACATATACATAGATAGATAGATAGACAGATAGATAGATAGATAGATAGACAGACTTGTAGGCAGCCAGGTTGATACAGACAGAAATACAGACAGGCAGGTAGAGATATTCTTCAAATGATCACACATGTATCAATTCACTATATATTCATAGATAGATATACAGGCAGATTTGTAGTCAGACAGATAGGCAGAGAGACTGACAGAGACAGGAAAACAGAAAAGCAGCTAAAGATATGAACTGGTAGACAGAACATTGTACATACTGTTTAAAATGTTCATTAAGCTACAGAAGTATTGAATGTAGAAGCTACTGAGATGCTGTAATGATACTTACATGGTTTTAAGTAGCTGTCTCATAGAACGAAGTTGTGTTGGCAAACTACTGGTCTTACAAATGACTTCCTTATTATATTACAAAGGAAGTAGGAGTAAAAATATGTGTCATGTCATTTATTGCATGTCTGACACAGAGACAACAGACTTAAAATAGGAGTAACAGGTGAAGTGACAGGGTAGCTCAATCAAATGTCATGTTTGCCAGACCATTCATTATTTCAAATTACATTTCTAAATAAACAAGCAGTAATAGTTACTCATGAAGTCAACTTGAAGATTTATTAATGGTTTAACATACGCCCATTACCAGTCTAATTGTTTGTGTACCAAAAAAAATACTTTGGGGTTCCCTCTTATCCCTATATTTTCCTACTTTGTGCCCTCAGCACTTAGTCAATTTATGTGTCAATAACATACGCTAATCAGCCACAACATTAAAACCACTGACAGGTAAAGTGAATAACATTCATTATATCATTACAATGGCAACTGTCAGGGGTGTGGTGGGGACGGGGGGAAGAGGGATATATTAGACAACAAGTGAACAGTCAGTTCTTGAATTTCATGTGCGGGAAGCAGGAAAATTGGGCAAGCAAAACTATCTAAATGACTTTCACAAGGGCCAAATACTGATGGCTAGATGACAGGGTCAGAGCATCTTCAAAATGGCAAGTCTTGTGGGGTGTTCCCAGTATGCTGTGGCTAATACCTATCAAAGTGGTGCAAGAGAGACAACCAGTGAACCCGCTTCAGGGTTATGGATGCTCAAGTTTCATTGATCCATGCCGAGTGTAAAGGCTATCTGGTCCGATCACACAGAAGAGCTACTGTAACTCAAATTGCTGAAAAACGTAATGGTGCCCATGACAAAAAAAGTTTCAGCATACAGAGTGCATGCAGCTTGCCATGATGACCCCTGTACACTGCTGAAAGCACCTTCTATGGGGACATGAGTGTCAGAACTAGACCATGGAGCAATAGAAGAAGGTTGCTTGGTCTGATGAATCACATTTTCTTTTAGATCAGGTGGATGGCTGTGTGAGTGTGTGTGCGGCATTTACCTGGTGAAGGGAAGGCAGCAGGATGCAGTATGGGAAGAAGGCAGGCTAGCAGAGGAACTGTTATGCTCTGGGCAATGTTCTGCTGTGAAACATTGTGTCCTGATATTCAGATGGATGTTACTTTGACAAGTACCAGCTGCGTAGAGTTTGTTGCAGATCATGTACACCCCTTCATGGTAATGATCTTCCCTGATGGCAGTGGCATCTTTCAGCAGGAAAACGCACCACACTGCTAAAATTGTTCAGGAATGGTTTGAGGAACATGACAAAGAGTTCGAGAAGTTGCCTTGGCCTTTTAATCCTATATCTAGATCTCAATCCAATTGATCACCTGTGGGATATGTTGGAACAATCAATCTGATTCTTGAATTCCCCACCTCGCAACTTGCAGGATTTAAAGAATCTGTTTCTCTTGTCTTAGATTTAACAGAATCAGGAGAATTATATTCAGGTAAGCATAGAACCCTGCATATATGTTGCATGTTAACTCGTATGTACATCCTTTTGACCATCTGCAGTATGAGGATGTCCAGCATCAATCAGGCAACCAAAAGTCGCCTTACCACCTCATATTAAATAAACAAACATTTTATCCACCCACATCAGTTAATGTCAATGTTTTCATTGCAAGGTTTAAATGCCTCTTGTGGCTGTCACTCAGACAGCCACAAGAGGCACTTCCATTGAAATAGCAGAATACAACTCTGCTACTTCCATCAGATGGTGTCAGAGAGGCATTTTTCTGTGTATTTCAATTATCTCTATCAAGGAGATGGCGCTTCCCAGCAGAGACAGGTGCTGCAAGGGTGAAAAAGTAAGTAAAATACCTTTTTTACGCAATGCAGGTGGGAGCCAGCCACATAAACTGCCAGCAAGGCACTATATCATAAAGAATGCACATATGGATTCAAAATGCTACAGTGCTCCTTTACGATTTTTACCCCCTTTACTATCAAGTACAGTTAATTAGTCAGTTAGGATTAATATGATTGGAAACAGTGTGATGAAAGTGGAAAGATTTTAGGTAGACACCCCCAATATAGGAGTGGTTTTTCAGGTGGTGACCACAGACCACTTCTCAGTTCCTATGCTTCCTGGCTGATGTTTTGGTCACTTTTGAATGCTGGCGGTGCTTTCACTCTAGTGGTAGCATGAGACGGAGTCTACAACCCACACAAGTAGCTCAGGTAGTGCAGCTCATCCAGGATGGCACATCAATGCGAGCTGTGGCAAGAAGATTTGCTGTGTCTGTCAGCGTAGGGTCCAGAGCATGGAGGTGCTACCAGGAGACAGGCCAGTACATCAGGAGATGAAACAACACACAAAATGGTGGATTGGCGCTAAAGAGCCAGAGAATATGCAACTACCCCCAGTGCCCAAAATCACTAAATGGCACTCAGATATAAAGTGATAGAAAGAAAAGTATAAGGGGGTGCACATAAAGTAAATAGAAAATATATTTATACTTAGTATAAGTAGGACACCTCCTGATTGACCTATAATAAAAACACATATACTGTTATATACAGAGCATTGGTCAGTCACAGGTATTGGGTCACTCACAGTATGTAGAGCCACATGAAGCTGGCTCTAACTTTGGTGGCAGATGAATAATAAGCTTATTCTGGCTTTCAACTTTCTGCTTTCCAAGCAGGTCTGCTTCTTTTCCCAGCCTTTCAATAAATTCCAGGACATCCAGTAACAATAAACAAATGGTATACACATAAAGCTTGTGAAAGGAAGATCGAAAACCCGTAACTGACGTCACGACGCATGTCATGTGATCGGACGGGAGGTCACGTGACGCGGAAGCATGGCGAACCCGGAAGTGAAGACGGACGCCGGCAAAACGGCGCTAACTTTGAAGAGAGAAATACTATTTAAGAGAAAGAAGACCAACACTCACCACACACTTTGATAAAGACCTGGAGGTCGAAACGCGTTAGTGCTGTGGACTTTGTTATATTTTAGCTTTTCCTGTGTCCTGTATTTTAACCAGTAAAGTTGCCATTTGTTTATTGTTACTGGATGTCCTGGAATTTATTGAAAGGCTGGGAAAAGAAGCAGACCTGCTTGGAAAGCTGAAAGCTGAAAGCCAGAATAAGCTTATTATTCATCTGCCACCAAAGTTAGAGCCAGCTTCATGTGGCTCTACATACTGTGAGTGACCCAATACCTGTGACTGACCAATGCTCTGTATATAACAGTATTACACTAAATATGTGTTTTTATTATAGGTCAATCAGGAGGTGTCCTACTTATACTAAGTATAAATATATTTTCTCTTTTCTTTATGTGCACCCCCCTTTTACTTTTCTTTCTATCACATCAGGAGATGTGGAGGAGGCCGTAGGAGGGCAACAACCCAGCAGCAGGACCGCTACCTCCGCCTTTGTGCAAGGAGGAACAGGAGGAGCACTGCCAGAGCCCTGCAAAATGACCTCCAGCAGGCCACAAATGTGCATGTGTCTGCTCAAACGGTCAGAAACAGACTCCATGAGGTGGTGGGGGTTGTGCTTACAGCCCAACACCGTGCAGGACGTTTGGCATTTGCCAGAGAACACCAAGATTGGCAAATTCACAGATGAAAGCAGGTTCACACTGAGCACATGTGACAGACATGACAGAGTCTGGAGACGCCGTGGAGAACGTTCTGCTGCCTGCAACATCCTCCAGCATGACCAGTTTGGCAGTGGGACAGTAATGGTGTGGGGTGGCATTTCTTTGGGCGGCCGCACAGCTCTCTATATGCTTGCCAGAGGTAGCCTGACTGCCATTAGGTACCGAGATGAGATCCTCAGACCCCTTGTGAGACCATATGCTTGTGCGGTTGGCCCTGGGTTCCTCCTAATGCAAGACAATGCTAGACCTCATGTCAGCAGTTCCTGCAAGATGAAGGCATTGATGCTATGGATTGGCCCGCCCGTTCCCCAGACCTGAATCCAATTTAGCACATCTGGGACATCATGTCTCGCTCCATCCACCAACGTCACGTTGCACCACAGACTGTCCAGGAGTTGGCAGATGCTTTAGTCCAGGTCTGGGAGGAGATCCCTCAGGAGACCACCATCTGCCACCTCATCAGGAGCATGCACAGGCATTGTAGGGACGTCATACAGGCACGTGGAGGCCACACACTACTGAGCCTTATTTTGACTTGTTTTAAGGACATTACATCAAAGTTGGATCAGCCTGTAGTGTGCTTTTCCACTTAAATTTTGAGTGTGACTCCAAATCCAGACTTCCATGATTTTGTTGTCAGCACATTCAACTATGTAAAGAAAAAAGTATTTCAGAAGAATATTTAATTCATTCAGATCTAGGATGTGTTATTTTTGTGTTCCCTTTATTTTTTTGAGCAGTGTATATAGGGGAAACTAAAATAAAGAAACTATAAAACTGATATTATTTTTATTGATATTATAGTGTTAATGCTAATGCAACCACTTACCTTCTGCCTAGCCTATAAAAATTGATTGGTGTACAATCACTCTTTATATTGTATACACTATAAACATCCATAGGCCTACTTAACTTTTACACACATATGCATCACATTACAAACATATAATATATTACACCTGCTGTATATTTTTTTGAGGATTGTGTTATGGCTGGTTTAGTGAGCAGTGCAAGTTTTCTGGGCTCATCCTGTACATGAAGTAACTATTTTACACAGACCCAGCGTCAGATTCATCAAAGCAAAATAAATTCTCTTCTGGGACAAAATGCTTAAAGTTGAGCGGCATTTTGTGGGTTTCCATGGTAATTGCTCCTTGTTTTGCACTTTGGCCTAGAACAGCCCCTGTATTTGCTTTGATACATATGACCTTATTTGTTCATGAGGTGAATAACCGATATATTTTAACAGGTCCTAGCTGCACTGTTAGAAATTACAAATTTAACTAAAAGTAATTCACCATAACAATGAATTGATTTTTTTTTTGCTGTTCAAAGTTAGTGCTTTATATAAAGTTAGTGCTTTATATATAGTGCTTTATATATACACTAAACAAAATTATAAGATTTTTTCAATGTACAT